GTTTCACAGTTTAGGGTCATTGTTGGGAAACAGTGTCTAACAATGTGTGGCACCATCGTCCCTTCCAATATTTAGATTACTGTTTGAATCTTAGCTTAAAGGGATACTCCATTTTTTTTTTTTGGAAATAGGCTCATTTTACCACTCCCTCAAAGTTAAACAGTTGGGTTTTACCGTTTTCCAATCATTTTAGCCGATTTTCTGATATTTTGAAGCATATCAGTAACCAGACAGTTTCTGGTCTCATTGACTTCCATAGTATACTTTTTTTTTTCCTACTATGGAAGTCAATGAGACCAGAAACTGTCTGGTTACTGATATTCTTCTAAATATCAGAAATCGGCTGAAATGATTGGAAAACGGTAAAACCCAACTGTTTAACTCTGAGGGAGTGGTAAAATGAGCCTATTTCCAAATGTTTGACGTGCTTACAGTATTATTGTTCCCGACTCTAACTCTAAAGTTAAAAACTCTAAAGAGCCACAATATTTCAAGCCATCACCGTAAGTTCCCCCAGTAGATAGATGAGTAAATTGTATGACTCAGTTTCAGTGTGCCGTTAATGAATCACAAAATAGACTTGAGATTATGAACATTTTTGGTTTAGTGTCACAGCATAGACAAAATCGAATTCTCTAGAAAAAGCATAGATGTGTTGAAGCCACATACTGCCAAACGTTCGGGTCTCATCTTTTATTGTAAAACTGGAAGAAATATATATCCCAGGCAACACTATATTACATTATACAATAAAAGTTTCTATACAACCAATGCTAATAAATCACTTGGGTGAACCGGGACCTCAGGAATCTGGATTTGTTTTAATGTTTGTTACAGATACTTAGTTCACTAAAATTATGACATTTCAACTTGGTTCTACATCCCATGAAGCACATCTGTGAATTAAGTAAAGCCACTATCTTTCCGAACAGTGTAACATTTCACAATTTTACAGCAAATCAACACACACACACATGAACAGAACATGGTGCCGCTTGACCACGAGACAAGCTGAGAACAAGACGAGAACTTTGCTGGTGTGGTCAGTTTCACGACATACGTGTAGAGAGAGAAATAAAATCATCAAATCATCAGAAAACAAAAGTAGCAATTACTGGGTTGCAAAACGTCAACATTTCAACAGTTATTGCCTTAATGCTGAAAACTGTGTTGCATAGAGATAGAGATTAACCAGCACAAAGACAGCTAAAAGACTGTTATTTCAAATAAAGAAATACAAATCATTGAGTTTAGGCCCTTGGCATTTTGTCGGGATTGAAATGTTGAGAGAGTAATAGTGTGAATTTAATGTCTATATGTGAATCAAACTGAAGAACAAGTGGTGCCAACATACACACACACTTAAGGACCAGGTTTTATTCGCCATACAAAATGTACTTTGGGAGAAACTAATCACATACACAGAATTAAGCAATAAAAGCCAGACCAAATACACCACATGAACATTTTCATTCTTATTATCTGATGCTCGACTTGCCATATTAATTTAGAAAATGCACTTAATTATCAGAATATACTAATCAAAATGAAAAAGATTACAACAACATAAATAAAGCCTTTGGTTCTTGACCTACTGATCGGTAACACATTGAATGAGCCTCAGCTCTTAATAAAGGTTTTCATGACAAACATAAACAGAGGTTGAGGCCTCGAAGAGGTCTATAACACACTGAAGAAACAAATGTACACGATGAGGACAAGAACAGGCTGAACCAGTCTGGGGACAATAGAGTTTAATGAAGACAAATGGAGGAGGACTTAAATGTGACTCAATGAGGCACGGGATGCTTCAGTTCTGCCTCGTTGGCAAAAGTCAGGCTGGAATTTCAGTGCTAAAAAGAACTGTGAACACACACACACACACACACTCTCTCACACACAATGCAGATAATTTAAAACAATGGCATATTGTGTGCAGGACATACTGTAATATTATATAAAACATGTGCAGCTAGTTTAGTCTTGAAAAAAAATCATTTTACGTTCACCACTTTTAATGTTGGTCATTTCTTTCAAGCCATTTCCCTCTTAAATTGGACACACAATGTTCACAATGTTCTTCTCTTACAAGAGCATTACATTGTTTGTGACTCTGGTTTGTGAAGGACACAAACTCAAATCACTCTACGGTTAATATACGATGAGCACATTTATTGAATGATTGTTAGCCCACTGAGTTTAATTAGGTTTGTTTGGGCCTTAAATTGATCAATGTCCAATGTGATGCTCGTTGTGGTCTAACCATCTGGCTTTCTAAAGTAATGGTGTAGTCATGCATATCTGACTGAGCCTGAAAGCACACTGAATTGCCAATTTAGCCATTTTGTCTCAAACGGGGTGATTTAAAGCTGCGCTTGTGGTCGTCTCAGTAGTGATGATGTGTGTTCAGTGCAACAGTGCTCTAATTTACCTCATGACAGCGTGTTGACAGAATTACTTGCGAGCTTGTGTCCGCCACAGAGTAAAGTCCTAATTATCTTTTTTATTTTTAATCTCACAGCTCTGACTTTTCTTTTCAATTGCAAGATCTTAACTCGCAATTACGAGAAAATGCCAGAATTCAGCTGACTTTATTCCTCAGTATATATCTCGAAATTCCTACTTTATAACGCAGAAGCTATAAAAGCAATCCGAAACAAACGGCGTTAGCTTGTGTCTTCAGTAATCAATAGCTGTCATTTCACCATCTAGGTTAACTATAGACCCGATATAGTCCGGCTATCGGTAACCCATTTCTAGCCAAAATAACCTTAAATTTGGTTACATGTCGTTTTTGCCAAAATAACTTGCGAGATGTATGATGTCCAATCATATAAGTGAAGTGAACAGTGATTGCAAGGTGATTGGTTTGATTTCTATGACATGTTCTACGCGTAGCCAGTGCGTCTATTCTTGTGTGGTTAGTAGGGTTGGGTATCGTTTGAATTTGAACGATTCTGATTCCGATTGCGATTCCTTGTTTCGACTCCGGTTCCTAACGATTCTCGATTCCGATTCTTTTAAGAGGCAGGGTCAAAAAAGTTTAGTTAACCTTGCCAACCAACGGCCTTTCTGAAGGAAATGATCCTTTCTGAAGGAAATACTCCTTTTGTAAAAATACTCCTTTTGTCACAAATTTTGCATTTTGCCGAGATTTCATTATTTTCAGAAAAGTGAAGCCACACTTTGGATCGCCGACGTAAGGTACTCATGTTCGACTTGCGTGGTTATGCCAACACTTCCGGTAGACACTTCTTCGTTGGTGTTGTTCAGCGGTTTCTTCTTCCGCTCGGCGGACTGTGAATATCGAAACTAGGAATCGAAATTTTAACTTTTGAACGATTCCGGGAAAAACGAAAAGTTAGTCTCGGTTCCAATCGATACTCGATTCTCGATACCCAACCCTAGTGGTTAGACGTCCAAATTTTACATAATTTTAGCCTGGACATCAGGGATGTGTTTGGACGGCTATTAGACACCTTTTAAATGCAAAATTGTTTGCTGGGATTGTAGATTGGGGTTGGACACCATGGTGCAGGTGTGGCTACGTATGTACGCCTTTCCTGAATTGCTATTCTCCTGGTAGTTCTAGAGAGTTTGCCAGTTGGCCAGGCCGGTATGGTCCACGGACCTGATGTCTCTCCCTGGGAGATTCCCATCAGGAAGGACATTCTGTCATAATCGGCAGAAATATGGAAGCTGAGGATTTGGCCACTGAGATGAACCAACTCTTGAACTCTGGTCTCTCAACCGAGCTCATTGAGACCATCTTAAACTCAACAAGGAAAATTTATGCCTTTAGACTTTTCACTTTATGGTGGAGAGAAAACCAGTAGGACCTGCTAGACTATCCCCCTCCACGCTTAAGGTTTACAATATGTAGCTTCCCAGTTGGCAACATAGCGTCTGCCCAGATCTGGTACACATTGAATCGACATGTACCAGATGTGGGCCGGATCTGGGCACTATTTTGCTGTCTGGGTTACCATGCACCTTTGGGTGTTTGATCTTTGGGGAGACCCTGTGGTATCTTGTTTCCTTGTTCTAGAGGCTGATATTCATGCGAGAGTTCCAGCCTGGCATTTGCCTGTGATTTTAGAGTGATTGTCCCTGGCACCATTTGAGCCCATTGAAGCCGTTTCAGAGAAGTTCCATGTATTCAAGACAGCTTACTTGATTACCATCCCCTCTCTTAAAAGGGTAGGAGATCTGCAGGCCCTCTCTGCTGCCTCCTCCTGCCTAGAGTTTGCTCCTGATGGGGTCAACAGTAGACCGGGAACACAGCATGCTCAGTTGTTTTGCACACCTTTTATCGTCCTCCATTTCAGTTGGTGCAAGAGAAACTAAACTTGGTTTGCCCTGTTAGGGCACTAGAGTGTGGTTCACACAGACAGGGATCCCAAAGGATAAGCAAGTGGATTAATGAGCCTATTACTATGGCTCTATAGCTTACGAGGCACGTGACCTCCCTTCGCCTCTAGTCATAAGGGCCCATTCTACTAGAAGGATGCTGGCCTCTAAGGCTTTATTGTCAGGAGTTTCCATCTAAGAGGCAGTGTTGTAGTCGAGACCACCTCACTCGAGTCCGAGTCGAGTCCGAGACCAGAGACGGTCGAGTCCGATTCGAGACCGAGACCAGTGAGGGTTGATTACCTAATTTACTTTTATTTACTTAGAGAAATCCTTTTTTTTTATTTTTTTTTTTACTGAATTTACTTAGAGTTTAAAAAATATGATCAGTTTAGGGTAAAAAGGCCACATAGTAGGTGGTGTTAAAAGTAATTTTATTACAATTTGTCATGCGCAGTTGCGCACTAGAAAATCACCAATCACTGGGCGTGTCAATCAATTTAAAGAAATATTTTATTAACATACAGTAATAATCATGAAAAATATTTTTAATTGAACTCGAGTGGACTCGGGAATAATTCCGAGTCCTAAAAAAAAAAATGTTCGAGTACGAGTCAATTCCGAGTCCAACTGGACACGAGTCCATGACAAGACCAAGACCATTAAAATATGGTCTCGAGACCGAGTCCGAGACGAGTCCGAGTCTCGAGTACTACAACACTGCTAAGAGGTGTGCGATGCGGTGGGCTGTGCCTCTCCGCACACATTAATCAGATTCTACCTAGACAGAAGCATAGTGTCGGCCTAGATCCGGTCCACATCTGGTACCAAATGTGGCCAGATCTGGGTACTGCCTGGATTTGGATTGCAGTGGGTATTAAACGTTCCCATAGCGTCAACAATCTGACGAAGCATTGAGTTCTCTCGAAAGGGAAAGTCTCGGTTACAACTGTAACTCTGGTTCCCTGAAAAGGGAACGAGACTCCCCGGATGTCTGCGAGTGACTTACTTCAGTCAATCAGAAGCTGACGCTGTTTGTTTCAGGAATCCTTTATAGCTTCAGAGAAGTTCCTTGCTTTCTTGCTCACTATCCCCTCTCTTAAAAGGGTAGGAGATCTGCAGGCCCTCTCTGTTGCCTCCTCCTGCCTAGAGTTTGCTCCCAATGGGGTAAACCCTAGACCAGGTTACTTGACTAACATGGCATGCTCAGTTGTTTTGCACGCCTTTTATCCTCCATTTCAGTTGGTGGACCAAGAGAAACTAAACTTGGGTTGCCCAGTTAGGGGACTTGAATGTTTCGTCCACCGCTCTGCCCAGTGGCGTAAGATTGACCAGCAGCTGGTATGGTTTGACAGGGTTCTTAAAGAATAAGCAAGTGGATTGTTGAGGCTATTACTCTGGCTTATGAGGCACGTGACCTTACTTCGTCTCAAGTCATAAGGGCCCGTTCTACTAGAAGCATGCTGGCCTCTAAGGCTTTATTGTCAGGAGTTTCCATCTAAGAGGTGTGCAATGCGGTGGGCTGTGCCTCTCCGCACACATTAATCAGATTCTACCTAGACAGAAGCATAGTGTCGGCCTAGATCCAGTCCACATCTGGTACCAAATGTGGCCGGATCTGGGTACTGCCTGGATTTGGACTGCAGTGGGTATTAAACGTTCCCATAGCGTCAACAATCTGACGAAGCATTGAGTTCTCTCGAAAGGGAAAGTCTCGGTTACAACTGTAACTCTGGTTCCCTGAAAAGGGAATGAGACTCCCCGAATGTCTGCGATTGACTTACTTCAGTCAATCAGAAGCTGACACTGTTTGTTTCAGGAATCCTTTATAGCTTCAGAGAAGTTCCTTGCTTTCTTGCTCACTATCCCCTCTCTTAAAAGGGTAGGAGATCTGCAGGCCCTCTCTGTTGCCTCCTCCTGCCTAGAGTTTGCTCCCAATGGGGTAAACCCTAGACCAGGTTACTTGACTAACATGGCATGCTCAGTTGTTTTGCACGCCTTTTATCCTCCATTTCAGTTGGTGGACCAAGAGAAACTAAACTTGGGTTGCCCAGTTAGGGGACTTGAATGTTTCGTCCACCGCTCTGCCCAGTGGCGTAAGATTGACCAGCAGCTGGTATGGTTTGACAGGGTTCTTAAAGAATAAGCAAGTGGATTGTTGAGGCTATTACTATGGCTTATGAGGCACGTGACCTTACTTTGTCTCTAGTTGTAAGGGCCCGTTCTACTAGGGGTATGCTTGCCTTTAAGACTTTATTGTCAGGAGTTTCCCTACATCAGATTCTACCCAGATAGCAGCATAGTGTCGGCTCCGATCCGGCCCACATCTGGTCCGTGTTGAATCCATGTGTACCAGATGTGGCCCGGATCTGGAAACTATGTTGTTGTCTGGATACAGCCTGGATATTAATGTTCCCATAGTGTCAACAATCTGACGAAGCGTTGAGTTCTCTCGAAAGGGAAAGTCTCAGTTACAACTGTGAGAGAAAGGGAGCCTTCCTGAAAAGGGAATGAGACTCTGTGCTGCCTTGTCTTACTTCCCGCATGCCTGCATGTGACATATTTCAGCCAATCAGAAGCTGTCGCTGTTTGTTTCAGGTATCCTTTATAGCTTTCGCGGTACGCTGCCATGTGTCACGGGGTCACGTTGCACCAATGAGATTAAAATGATTCAACACATGTTTTAGATGGCTTACAAAGAGGAAAATGCTAAATGTTACCCTAATATGTTTATTATTAAGCGTTGTACTAATAATACTAAAAAACAAACGGACAATAAGCCGTTGAAACGTGAAGCCCAAAACACTGGGACGATGCAAACAACACAATCTTTCTACATTGACATCAACAGACATGGCACTGATGGACAGTGACTGTTTATCACAAGTGAACACAATGAAAAAAGAAAAACACTGAAAAAAGCATTGTGCATAGTTCAGTCATCACCTAACCTCTCTGCTGCTTAACACTATTTCTGCTAACAACGAAGTGCAAAAAATGTACATCTCTCATTAAATTAGCTCACTGTTGCACTGAAGGGTGTTCCATTCATTCGTTCCCTTGTTCTATAAGGTTTGTTGAATATGTGTGCATGTGTGTGTACTTATACAGAAACCCGTGTTCGTTTTAACTCACTACTAGGGTCAAGTCCATTGGCATCCCTTAAAGGTTTTCCCGAGCTTTGGCCCAGTCGGCCGACGCAATCCTCTGCAGAACCGGCCCGCGGTACGCCACTCATACCTCACCCACCCAAACCACTGTGTTCCCTCTCTTGATGTCTGACACCTCACAGTGAGGGCCGCTCTGTTTGCCGTCCAGAACGAACAGGGACTCGGTCGACGACGTGACCAAGTATCGTCCAAACACCCCGCTGGAGACCACCACCCTATTGGTGTCTCCCCAAGGCCAACTGGTGGCTGGAATCGGATCCTTGACATTCTGAAGGGCTTTTTCTCTTCCCGTCGCCAGGTCCGAGAAAACCAGCTCCGAGCCCTGAGCCGAAGAGGTCACGACCACGTACTGGTTGGCCTCCGTGAAGGACGGCTGAAACTCCAAGTCTGCGAGTTGAATCGAGACATCCACTTCATGGCTGATCTGCAGTTCACCGCTGAAGGAGACGGTCTGGACTTGGAGTTTGCCACGCCGCTTATCTACGGAGACGACAAAACGCCCGTCTGGAGAGACGAACGGCTGTCCGTTGATGTTGGGATTGGGCCCGATGACTGTGTCGCTTACGCTGTCAATGAGAAGCTGTGAGCTCGGAGACGAACTGTTCTGGACTTGGCACTCGATAAAATAGTAGCCGCTTAAATGAGTGTAGGCCATGCTGGCGGGAATACAGCTGTAGTTCTTCAGACTGATGGTCTTGACGAGGCGGAGGGTCTCAAGGTCGATTTTATGCACCGCAGGCTCCCGTTTTAAGTAGACAAAGCCAAACCTAAGATGACAATTGTCAAAGACAGGTTAATGATCTTTCTGGTGATTTATTAAGTGCTGGCCTGTTAATTACAACCATCATTTCACTCACTTCCAATTTTTGGAAGAATTATGTTGAGGTCAGACGATGGTTTCGTACCTTACGTGGGTGATAATGAGGTTGGTGGGAGGGATGTAGAAATCCTCCACTCTTTCAAACGGAGTGTGAAGGATCTGACGCTGCTCCACTGCACTCGCAGACGTGATCACCTCAGAAACGGAAACGAGAGAAACTAATATTACAATCATGTAGAGTGTCTTAAATCAGACCGGATGAGCAAAGATCTTAAAAGAATAAACAACATATTCTGTTGTAACATAACAAAATGAAATAATCTATGAAAACAGTGTGCTTTCAGTAATGATGCTTTGATATTTTATCTGAATTTACTCTAGATAGTGCTGTGAAACTGCCCGTGATGAGAGTTTAATCATGCTCATGGTGTTTTCCCAACTCCCTTTACAGTTAATCATCATGTCTAATTGTATAATACTCAAACAGATTAATTTAAAACATAGCTACTCCTCTAGTCAGTATTCAATCAAATTTAATTCATCTTTAATGGTAACACTTTAGTCCAATTCTCACTTTGAACTAGTGGCTTATTAGCATGCATACAGTTCAAACCCCATTGCAAATCAGGTTTCCTGACTAAATGAACCGAATTTTAGTAGTTTGCAATGAACAAATCAAGCAAAAGTAATTGAAATAGCTCAACACAACAAATATTTCAAGTGCTTTCCCCAAATTCAACTGACAATGCAACGTTTGATGACTTCTGCAGTCTCAAAATGATTCAAGTCGCCTGACTTGATTTCCCCCCATCTGGGTTAGTTTTTGTTTTATTTTTTGCCCTTCATCTCTGTAAAATTGAGTCCACGCCTCATTCCTTCACCCAACCCTGACAATATCTGCAAGTAAAGTTCTTTAAAATTTCTTTTAAGATTTAAAGTGCACATTCAATACAATTAAGCACACTTTCATTTCACAAGGGTATAAAACCGAGCCATTCATCACACCAAATTTGTATTTATAATATGTGTAACCCCTACACCCGGGTCCTACGCGACCTGCTCCGAGCGGGCGTCGAACGCGCGTCTCTGGCGTGAGAGTTGGGCGCTCTAATGCTACGTTCACACCGAACGCGAATAGTGCGTCAAATTCGCGTCTACCGTGTCTAGTTTGACGCTTGACCATTTTGTGTTAATTCGCGCGTCAAAAGTTTGAAGCGAAATTTACGCGCATCTCACGCGTCAAAATCGAAATCTGTTGTCGGCCATCTTTTTTTTATGTTGATTGAGCATTCATCGAGAGATTCACTTTATTTTCTCTGGTAAGCTAGAACAGCGGCGTGGGGATCATCGACGCCGTATTTGTGTCCACCAGACCCTTCGGAGGCGAACCGTTTGCCGAGTTTCAGCATTTGCTCGCTCCAGGAGCTGCGCTGGATGACGGCCGCTGTCAGGGCTACTTCCGCCTGTCCCGCGCCCAGTTTGATGACCTGTTGTCCCGCATCGGAGCGAGGATCACCCTCGCCCTCATCCACCTAATCTGTCATTTATTTTTGTTTTGATGATAATTAGAGCCAGCCTCCAAAAGTTATTAACCTGTCCTGTGATTTTTTTCTCTCTCACGTCCAGACACGGACTTATGCACATGTATGTTGGTTGTCTTTACATCATAATACTATTTCATATAATCTAGATATGGAATGAATAACATTCAAAACAAAAGGAACATGTCTCGTATATTGAAATAAAGTTTTAATGCCCTGTTTACACGAGAACGCTTGCGGGTGAAAACGTAAAAATATTTTAGCGGATGTGCCTTTCGTTTACACGGCAACGGCGTTTTTGAGCCTCAAAAACGCTAAAAAAGTGAAACCACCCTCCAGAGTGGAAATCTTAAAAACGCTCCACCGCCGCGTTCCCGTGTAAACGGTAAAAACGCAAAAGTCTGCTTGACGGTGAAAGTTGTACGCAGGTTCGTGGACTTGGTGTTGTTGTAGTATGTACTCCTAGCCGCCTGAAGTGCATACTACATTGAATTTCACACACTTTTGCGTCTCCGTTTGCACGCGGATTTCCCACACAAAACGCTCGTCTAAACGCAGAATAAAAAAAGATGACGCAACGCCACTTTTGCATTTTCTCTTCAGAATCGTTTCCATGTAAACATAGCCTAAGTGATAAAATATTTGCTTTGTTGTGCATAAGAATCCCACCATGCATTTAGTCATATTACAAAATAATTTATTGAAGCATCCAGATTCTTCACCACGTGAGCAAGCAGCTAGGCTCCTGATTGGTTAATTGACGCCAAAGTTCAGATTTTTCAACTCGGGCGGCAAATGCGTGAATGCACAAATAGCACTAATTAAATCATTCGTGCTTAACGTGCCAGATGCTCAATTTGCGCCATTCGCGCAAACTTGATGCGCGAATGAGACGTATTCGCGTCTTCCGCGCTGCGCTCTATGACTCATTCGTGCCGCAGGCGAATTCTTTGCATTGACTTAGCATTGAAATCATTTGCGCCTGACGCGCTATTCGCATCCGGTGTGAACGCACCATTACAAAGAGGCTAAAGACTGCAGCTGCTAGTGTCTGTCGCTAGAGTTGCGATTGAGATCAGAGGAGTGAGGTTTACTTGCACAGCAACTACCAGCTGGCCTCCGTTACATTTGTCATAGGATATTTAGCAGCTTAATTCACAAGGATTATTCAGAAACCGCTTGGAAACTACGCCTCTAGAGAAAACGCTGTTTTCGGCTTGTTCATAAGTGGCCAGCGCAGCTGATTATGAAGGCAAACTATGAGTTGTTGGTTTGTGATCAGTGTGATGAGAGCCGGATCGGAGCCAAGCGCACACTCTCCTCAGGCCTAATTTGTTTAATCTAATGAGCTGACAAGCAGGTTCAGATGTTTGACTAAGAATATTGAGCCATTTAAAAAAAATGGGTTTGATATTTCACCTCTCGAGCTGGGTACCGCCTCCGGGCCCGACAAATTGCCCATGCCCGGGTCAATTGCACGCATTCAAAATGAGTTGAATATTATCAAGCCATTTATTTGTGGTGTGGATCCATATCCCCTGCAGCCGATTATCCAGCTTCCCGTTAAAAGTGCTCTTTAGCATTTCTGAGTGATTCATAGCAAACGTCTTCATTATTCCGCGTGGCTGGCGCTCATGCTGAACAAGCAAATACACCTGAGGACTTTACCGCTATTTAATAAAACGTGAATTATTCATGTGTATGGGGGCTGGAAATACACATTGTTTGTAAAATAAAAAGCCTTTCATTTGCTCTGTCTTTGAGGGTGTGTGTTTCTCAGACGTGAGGACGGTGCTGATCAAACCTGGCGGAGAAGAAAGTGGATATTTCTACAGCGTCTCATTTGCATACAGTTCTAGTCAAGGGGTCTACCTGACGGGGAACTGAAATGAATATGCATGCAAAGACTGTCACACATTTACACCTAACCTCAAGCACCACTGATTGAACTCTCAGGCTAAACAACATGAATGTGTGAGCTTTCTCATTTGTTTGAGAGTCTAAGCTCACCTGTAGCGTGGAGCGGGACTTCAGCAGGTCTCTCCAGCTCAACACCCACAGCTGATCGTGAGATTTGTCGTAGAAGAGTTTGACGGGCATGGCGTCTGTTTCCACAGCCTGTCATTCCAACAGAGAGAGAGAGGGAAATTCATTCACTTGCTTGTCAAGTGCAACTGCGGATTTATTCTGGCAAGTGACCAAATAAAGGATGTGGTTTCGGAATAAATGTAAGCATGAAGCAGAACCAGAACTCTCCATGGCCCGGTTTACAGCTGGTATTGAGATGTGTTTTTGGGGGATCGGATCACAGGTAGACGTGGAGAATTTGTTCTAAATTTTCCATGCACTTAAATATGTTAAACTGCAGTTCATTAATTTGTGTTGAAGCTACTCTAAAAAACTGAAACTGCACATGTTGAAACTGAAATGCCAACACTATCTCACGACCAATTCGTACGAATTCGACGCATGATTAAAAAGTGGCTAATTCGTACTAATTCGTACGACCTCACTCGTACTAATTCGTACGATTTGTCTAAACCCACGTGATGGTTAGGTTTAGGGGCGGGGTAAGGGGTAGGTCATTCGTACGAATTCATACGAATTGGCCAATTCGTAAAATATGTACGATTTAGCAAAATCGTATTAATTCGTACGAGTGAGGTCGTATTAATTGTTACGAATTAGCCACTTTTTAATCATTCGTCGAATTCGTACGACTTGGTCGTGAGATCGGGTTGGAAATGCATGTAAAAGAGACTAAAGGCAGGCATACACTGTGCGATTTTCGTCCGATTTTGAGCCGAATTCTGACTCGTGCGACTCTTTTTCGTGTCGGACCGATTTTCAGCTTTGTCGTGCGTCGTTTGTCGTGCAGTGTACCAAGAGAAACGAGAGGCGATTAACCTCTCACGATCGACATTTCGGATGAATTTCTGGCATGTCAGAAATGTTGGTCGCTCCTCGTGACTATATCGCACAGTTGAAGCAACGCTACGAACCGATTGCCCTAAACTCAGTGTTTTTTTCCCCACTGCACCTGCGCGAAAACAGAGGTTTAACCATTTCATCTGCAGCAAAAATTATTCAATTTTTTTTTTGCTGCAGATGAAATGGTTAAACCTCTGTTTTTAAAAACGAAAAGAGGGAGATCTTTAAGCTCTGTAGTTCAAACTAGCTACAAATTACTGTTGCAAAATGGATAATATTACCCACGTCTTCCAAGCCACCTGCGATGTAACCTCTTTTATTAATTTGTTAAACAATGTTTTTGAAATGAACCTGTTTTTAATTTTCATTGATGATAATTATGGCAATGTTTGGACATATTATAGACTGCTAATAGTTGTTTTATATGCCTATAATTCATTGTAATCGACCTAAACGTTTTAGACAATTTTTAATGAGGATTATGTAATATTTTATTATCCTCACAGTGCTGTGAAAATATTGCACGGCAAATTAATTACAATAGCGGATCAATTTAATAATAAAAATTAGCCTATAGGCCTCCCCTAATAATGATAATACAATAATAATAATTGAATGCATAAATTGAAAATACTAAATCATCTTGATACTGATAGCAGATGCTTGTTTTGACAATATCTCTGGATACAAACACGTCTATAGTCTCAATCCAGGGGGTTATCGCAGATATTACACGTATAGTGTGAGCAGAAGTCGCAGCTCGACGATCGGACCGTACAGTGTGAGCACATAAATCCTGAACTTTGGCTTTGCATCGCATGCGATTTACTCGTTGAGTGTGAGTAGGTACCTTGCTGAAATCGCACAGACATCACACAGTGTATGCCCGCCTTAAGCTGAAAGATTTCAAGTTATTTACTTGCAAAAGAAACAACTTCTCTTTAGATGCAACAGAGATCTCATTAGTAGTTGGACAACACTGGATGTTGTTAGCATGATTGTCGGGATCATATGGCGTTGTCTGTTCGTCGCTCAGTCCCTGTGATCATGTTAGAGGGATTTATCAGGCATGACCCAGTGACATCCACACGACCCTCGACACGCTCTGCTTTCTGAGAGCGCTTTCATCTTACGCTTTCCATTGTTCTGTTGCTGTGCATTATTGATTCTTCATCCATACAAGAAAAAAACATTCATTTATTTTGCAGCATTGGATCAGAGAACGAGTAAAATCTGAGGAGAAAACATGATGTGACAAAAAAATCTAGTCCAAAATCTTAGTCGATTCCCTTGAAATTATTTAGCGTCGGCCCAGATCCGGGCCACATCCGGCACAAAAGCGTACCAGATGTGGGCCGACAATATGTTGCTGTCTGGGTCTCATATGATATAAATCGATATAAATATGAGACAAAAATTCATAAAGGGAAGTGTGTCGTTCATGAACCCGTTCATTGCGTGTCACATGACAAATGAACCAAAGTCTCCGAAGGTAAATTAATATTCTTAGGTAATTAATATGGTCCCTGTAAATTATCTCTGGCTGCATTATAATGATTTCTTAATTAAAAGATAGCATACGTGGATGTTTTTGTGGAACTTGGCTGTTAAAAGCATAACATTTGAAGCCACATAAATGAACGAAACGACTCGAATAAAGATTGATCAAACGAACGAGAGAGTCAGTAAAATGACGAACTTCCCATCACTAATACAGGGGCATTTTAGGGTCATTACAGGCCACATACACATAACTGGGTATTTGGAGAAATTAATTTCCCTTAATTTCCATTTTCAATAATAACATCATGCACAAAACATTGTTTTCAAAAAAGTTGTAATTTACATCGCTCGCATAAATACGCCGTCTTTGATCATAACTCTGCCGAACTGGGCAGTCACATGACGTGAAGGCACATAATGTGACGTTTGAGAAGCTTAAACCCCAGCTGTGTCCGAAATCGAATACTTCCCTACTATATAGTATGCGAAAAACAGTACGCCAGAGTAGTATGTCCGAAATCATAGAATTGAAAAAACAGTACCCAGATGACCTAATACTCCCGGCGAGATTCTGAAGTGCGCATGCGATGGACACTTTACAATCCCATGATGCCACGGGAGAGGAGTTGTTGTCATTATATATTTGAAAATGGCGGAAACCGGAGACGCGGCTGTAACGTTAGCAGATAAACACAGACACACATGCGTATCTCTATTGATTCATTCATGTTTATTTATCGATGGTAATATCACAAGCAAATAAATGGCTTCTTCCTTGCCAAAAATCAACATCGTCATTGTTCATAGGGGTTGTGTGTGTGTTTTATGAGGTAAAATTTATTAGGTAAATAAATGTTATTTGTGAAATTCCGCAAAATACATAATCAGCGATCAGCTGACCGACGCCTCCTCTTGATTGTCGGCTCGGACCACGTAAAAACAGATGAAAACAGGAAGCAGAACTAAAAACAGCGCGATGTTACGTCTGTTATGACAGCGTATGTCCTACTCTATTCAAGACTAGGGTTGGGTATCGAGAATCGAGTATCGATTGGAACCGAGACTAACTTTTCGTTTTTCCCGAAATCGTTCAAAAGTTAAAATTTCGATTCCTAGTTTCGATATTCACAGTCCGCCGAGCGGAAGAAGAAACCGCTGAACAACACCAACGAAGAAGCGTTTACCGGAAGTGTTGGCATAACCACGCGAGTCGAACATGAGTAGCTTACGTCGGCGATCCAAAGTGTGGCTTCACTTTTCTAAAAATAACGAAATCTATAATGCTAAATTTGTGACAAAAGGAGTATTTTTACAGAAGGAGTATTTCCTTCAGAAAGGCCGTTGGTTAGCAAGGTTAGCTAAACTTTTTTGACCCCGCCTCTTAAAAGAATCGGAATCGAGAATCGTTAGGAACCGGAATCGAAACAAGGAATCGGAATCAGAATCGTTCAAATTCAAACGATACCCAACCCTATTCAAGACCAATCCGTACGAATTCGACGAATGATTAAAAAGTGTCTAATTCGTACTAATCCGTACGACCTCACTCGTACGATTTGTCTAAACCCATGTGATGGGTAGGTTTAGGGGCGGGGTCAGGGGTAGGTCATTTGTAGAAATTCATACGAATTGGCCAATTCGTAAAATATGTACGATTTAGCAAAATCGTACTAATTCGTGCGAGTGAGGTCGTATGAATTGTTACGAATTAGACACTTTTCAATCACTCGTCGAATTCGTACGATTTGGTCGTGAGATCGGGTTGGTATGTCACGCGATAACATCATGGCGCATGTAGTACGTCCGGACTCATTTATACTAGCAAAATTCTTACTATATAGAACGTACGATACCTACTCACATAGTACGTGATTTCGGACGCAGCCCCGTTTCTCTCAGTCGACACGGCCACACAAAGCCGGCGTTATCAGAAATCTTTTTATAAATAATTGTGATAAAATCGGTTTCTGTGATAAAAACGGGGTTTTCGTGTAAATGAGAGGCCAAACCGCCGGGAAATATCTGCGTCTTCTCTTCGTGTAAACGGGGCAATAGTTGTATCCTCGGCTTTATCATGCAGTGAGGAACACAGAGATCTGGGTCGGATCTGGGTTGAGAGATGGGAAAGCCTGATACGCACCTGCACGACTCTCTGCGCCTGTGTGTCGATCAGCAGGAGTCTGTTGTGGAGCGGCTGGGTCACGTACACGTACTTCTCCCTCACGCTGACCGCGGACGCCCACACACACTCATGTGGCGAGACGCCCACGCTTCTGGGACACAGCTCGTCCTGCAGGGACATATGGACACACACATGTTTGCATTATAGGAATATTTTGATCATTCACTCTCCTCCACGTCATCCGAGATGTTCACGTCTGGAAATGAAGGTTTGTGAGGAACACACTCCAGGATGTTTCTCCATATAGTGTCTTCAATGGGGTCCAACGGGTCGAAGGTCAGATGTGAGTTTCAAAGTCTCGACAGGAATAAGAGTCTGATCTGTGCTTATTTTATAAACAAAATAAAAATTAATATATTTTTTTTTACCACAAATGAAATGTGTTCCTCAAAAACCTTTAAATCTTTTCCACTGAAGAAAGAAAGACATGAACATCTCGGATGACGTGTGGGAGAGTGAATGATCTTTTTAAGTGAACTACGCAAAATACTTAATTCTTATTTCTTCCCATTGTTTTGAGGCCAGGACTTACATCACTACCCAGAATCCTCTCTGTCCGCGCGATGCGTCTGCGGATCTCACAGTTGCCAGGCTGCAGTATAATGATCCCTTCGCTGGAGAATATGTAGAACATGTTCCCCACACTGAGCCCTTCAACAACACACAGGTGCATTGATCACACACACACACACACACACACACACACACCATTACTCGTCTTCTAAGAGAAAACAACACCATTCCTAACAATCTGGCTGTCACACGGTTAGACAGCAGAAAGTGCATTTGCAGGTCTGTCACCGGGCAGAACACACCAGCTGCTAATGAGTGTGTGTTCACGTGATGCTCTCAGAAAGCAGAAGGTGTAAAAACACACAGGGTTATGCTGCGTCTGACCAGTGTTAGCGCTCATCTCGAGGACTGTCGTGCTACTGCAGTCTTAACCCTCTTGTGTTGAGCTTTTTTACAATTGTTTACTTCACTGGAATGGTACGAAACTTGGTAAAGGTTTTAGCACTTGCTGTGTGAAAACACACACACACACACACACACAAAATCATGGACATGATTTGAAAAGGTTAAATGTTCCTGTTAAAAATAGTCACACTATTGTCAAAAACATACATTTTCTGAGATATCAACCTCGGATTCGGAACAAAACTCGCTTAGATTTATGGCTTCGGTTTTCTAGCAGTTTTATAGTACAACAAAAATGTTTTTGGGTCAAATATGGACAAACTCAAACATTGGGTTAAAAATGTCATTTAAAAATGTAACCCAATGGCTGGGTTTGTCCATATTTGAACCAAAATTGGGTTAAAACAACCTAGCATTTTTTAGAGTACATATAAAAATTTCATAATATTTCATAAAAAAAAAAAAACACATACTTTTTTAAGTTCACTTTTTAAACTTTTTTTCACACAAAACTTCTGTCTGTCGCTCTAAAGCATTCAAGATTTATGACAGTTTAAGTTGGACATTACATTTTCAGGTCTATGCTCAAAAAGTGAATAAATGTATTATAAAAACAGCGTAAATACAATTTAGTATATAAAAAAATACCCTGAAAATACAAAATATTAATTAAAAAAAACACATTATCAAACTAAAATATAGTGCAAAAGTCATTTTATACAGTTAAATGAGGAAAGCATCAAATAGAAAAAAATAAAAAGTAGCTTTAGAAAGAAATAATTTATTTGATCCAACATAGAATTTATTATTAACGGCCATGTAAATGATGATTTTTTTTTTTTGGTGAACTATCCCTTTAATAGGTATTTATTATTATAGACGCTTCATCCATCACGTTTACATTGACAACTCTGTGTGAAACGTTCAGTATCCTAATGACTGGAGCTGGAGACACACACACACACACACTGGATGAACGTGACACATTAGGGCTTTCCACACTTGTAGTAGTTAACCCTGGGTCATTCTGAACACTGGCTAATATGGAAAAAAGTCAGAATTATCTTTTTTATTTTTTATTCTGTGGCGAAAACAAGCTTTCATTCAAATGAGTCAATTATTGACATAAAATGTAAGTTGTGGATCGATGCTCAGGTTATTAGCAGGAATGAAATCTCTGACTTACACAGATTGAGACACTGTAAGGACAGATTAGTGTTGTTTTTTTCCAATGAGAAGGCAAGCTGAAGTCTCAAATTGCTCTCATTTGTGTTCTCTGCACTATGGCCAGGTACGACACACACACACACACACACACAGAGAGAAACGCCCTTTGCCGTGGCAGGATCGGATAAGAGATCATGAGTAGCTCATCGCTTCATGGTAATGACTAGTGTAGCGATCCCCTCATGTCACGATTACATATTATTGTAATATTCCAAGACAGCACAGACAATAGAGACACCAGAATAACAATATTCATGATTCTGAAGCTGAAAATACTGAATTATTGTAGATGAATATGATGATCTCTGTCACTGACTAGACATATTTAATATAATGGAGGACACTTTTACTGGTAACATCAGACATCTGGCATTATCAGGACACAAATAGTCCCCCATTGCATTATTATACATTAAATTCAACATTATAACACTAAAACACTGTAAACTTGAATCCACAGTACATATCGTCACTATCATCGATCCATATTGTTGCATTTTTATTGTGACACCCATAGTAATGATATTAAAGGGTTAGTTCACCCAAAAATGAAAATTCTGTCAGTATTTACTCACCCTCAGTTCTTCCAAAACCTTTATGTGTTTATTTGTTCTGCTGAACACAAAGGAAGATATTTGGAAGAATGTTTTAATCAAACAGATCTCATTCCCCATTGACGTCAATGGGGAATGAGATCTGTTTGATTAAAACATTCTTCCAAATATCTTCCTTTGTGTTCAGCAGAACAAATAAACACATAGAGGTTTAAGGACGACATAGAGACGATGAATAAGGGTCTTATCTAGCGAAACGAGCGCTCATTTAATAAATAAATAACAAAGTTTAAGTTTTATAAGCTCAAATGCTCGCCTTGCTCTGTTCTGTGATGAGCGTTCGTGACTCTCCTGTTCGAACTCGTTCATCAAAATAAACTAATCTTTTCCCGAATCAATTGGTTGATTCAATGAACGAAACGAACGAATTGACTTGTTCATTTTGATGAACGAGTTCGAACAGGAGAGTCACGAACGCTCATCACAGAACAGAGCAAGGCGAGCATTTGAGCTTATAAAACTTAAACTCTCTTATTTTTTTATTAAACGAGCGCTCGTTTCGCTTGATAAGACCCTTATTCATCATCTGGTGTCGTTTAAAGTCCTTTGAACAGTTTGCACTGAAACTGTCTTTTGGACCTTGAACCATTTGGACCCCATTGAAGTCCATTATATGGAGAAAATCCTGGAATGTTTTCATCAAAAACCTTCATTTCTTTTCGACTGAAGAAAGAAAGACATGGACATCTTGGATGACACAGGGGTGAGTAAATTATCAGCAAAAGTTTTTTTTTAAAAAAAAGTGAACTACTCCTTTAACTTTATGCTGTTACGACACAGTAATACATGTTTCAGATATGCCAGGATTTGTTCATTTCAATAAGAACTTATTCAATCACAGTTTCTCAAAATGTTTTTTTTTTCTTCAATAAAATACATTAATCAGACATATAATCAGACGTGTATTTACCTTCCTCCCTCCAGAGAATGTTGGCCACTGGATGGACAGCATGAGGAAACACAGAGCAGAGTTAGTGCGTGAGGAACGCAATGATAGTGATTTACATTAATAAGATCCCCTGGACTACCAACAGATCTGCTAATAAAGGCCCTGAAGGTGGAAATGTGCTGCTGGATTACAGGAACTTCATTTCAATCTCTGAGATTCCTCCGTCACACTTTACTTGAAGACTTGAAGGGGTGTGCATAAGACAATTATGACATTTTGAATGCAAATATGACATTGTTTGAGATGTCTTTGTCATGACACCTTGACATAAACCAATACATCATAACCTGTCAGTGTCGTTGTCATGACAACATGACATTACTAAGACAACACAACCTGTCATAAACATGACATAGCAGATTAATGATCAAACTTAAGAAAGCACCATCGCTTTATGGGTTAACATTACATTAAACAGTCAGGTGGTTGGTGATCCTGAAATATTAAAAGTGAAACTTTACACTTTATTTTCATAACCTCATGAAATATCATCCTGCTTCATTTTTCGAGATATTAAATTGGCCTTGAGGTCTCTCCGCTCCCAAACACGAGGGTTAACATATAAAAGGCTTATTCAAAGGTCTTATCCGAGATGATTTGAATGCAAAAATAACCAGCCTTTGTCCTCTTCGCATGGGACTCGTCACCTGTCTTTTATGAGGCCCTTTATATTCAACAAAGACATTGTGTTACAGAAAATATGACGGATGGACATTTTATTATAACACTCTGATGGAGCTCATGGACAGAAAACACTACTTTTATTCCTTCTAGTTTTATCTGATGCTGATGCAAGTCTTACTGACACGTACTACTATCATAAAGAAATAAGGCACTGATGCATGATTTACACCCCTTCGGTAATAATGTCGGGTTAAGGTTGTATTGTATTGCTCCACTAAGGCCATTTACTGACATAATCAGATCTACAGACCTTCATTTCACTGTAATTGAACACTGTAAATTTAACAGTCCAGAAAATGTCTATAACTTTAGAAACAGGGCTTGGCTTATGAACACCACAGGGTTGTTCACATCTGTACGACCATTAAAACCGTATTAATGACAAACTGTCCTTCCCGCATTGGTGACTTCATTACATGTGTAAACCCTTCCCAGGATAATGACTGAACCAGCAACCCATACGATAGTGTGCAAGAGTTTACAATCTGAGCCAACAACATGCCATTCTCCCAAATACAGTATAGATCATCACAACAAAAACACTAGTGAGTGACTGTAACCTGCAGATGTCACTATAAAGAGCTTTTTCTCCCTGATTTAAAGGGATAGTTCACCCCAAAATGAAAAAATGTGTCATTTACTCACTTCTAGCATTGTTAAGGAAGCAAACACACTCTAGACTCTTTAACCTAGCGTAAACTTAACAATCTATCAGCAGTGTTGGGTAAGTTACTCTAAAAAAGTAATTAATTACTAGTTACTAATTACCTCTTCAACAGTGTAATTAGATTACTGTACTAATTACTCTCTCTAAAAAGTATTTAATTACTTTTAATTACTAATTACTTTCAAAATCCCATATCAATCTCATCCAGCTGAATAATACAAGGATAGACATGAATCTGTTTTAATTCTTTCAAATAAATACTATAAAATTGCATGAATTATCCTTAAACTGACCAAGGTGGAGAAGGTTACATTATAAAAACATACTTTTTAGCATCAGACAATACATTTTGATGTTAAACCCACTATTGTTTTATGTCTGATCTCATGACATTTCTCACTTTTTGCACATATTTTACAATAATTCATACGAATTTGTACACTGTAAAAAATATTGATGGTTTAACTTAAAAAAGTAAGTAACCTGGTTGCCTTAAAATTTTAAGTTCATTGAACTGGAAAAAGTGAGTTAATACAATGAAGGAGATTAATTTAATCATCAGAAACTCAAAATAATAAGTTATCTCAACTAAATAAATTATTATAAAGTTGATTTGACAAAAGAAAATATGTTGTAATAACAAATCTTGAAAATATTTTTTACAGTGTACGAGTGCGGTCGTAATATTTAGACACCTCATAAAATGCATGCGAATCGCTGTGAGATCGGATTGATTATTTACCTCAATTACATCAGAAGTAACTGTAATTAAATTACAGATAAATTAAGAGTAATCCCTTACTTTACATTTTCAAGGGAAATGTAATTAAATTACAGTAACTAATTACTTAGTAATTAGTTAGACCTAACACTGACTATCAGTTAAATGATTGTTAGGCTGAATAAATAAGGTCAGCCGGAACACTTCAATTAGATAATGCATAATTTGCATATTTAAACATTAAATTACAGAAAACTTGAAACATTTTTTTCTAATCTTAATGTATGTAATCAACTGGGAAAGTTTGATGGTGATATCTGCTAATACCCTGTTCGCCTTAAATATGACCTTTTTTAGTGTACAGAACAGATTCTACATCATCACTCACGTGTCTTACGCGCCGAATCCTCCACAAACAGAGATGAGATGTCTTCATCCACGCCGACCTCGTTTCTGGCGATGCATGTGTAAGCCCCAGTGTCTTCGTAACGCACACTCCCGATGTGAAGCTCACTGCCATTCGCTGAAAAAACACAACACAGAGTTAGATGAGCCAGTGCATCCTATATTCCCCATCTCTTCCCTGCTCAAACATCCAGCATGGTCCTGTCCGGGATGCTGGTCCAGCTAGACCGGCTCTAACCAGCATAAACCAGCCTGGACCAACACAGGACTCATGCTGGATTGTTAGGGTTAACACTAGGAGTGTGCAGCAGAGTCAGTTTAACCCTCAGGTGCTCTTCGTTTCAGAGTCACACTTGTTATCTTCCCGGTCAAAAGTGACCGAACACCTAAAAATGAAATTTCCTCCATCCTAGTAAAACCAATGCAATTTATTTTTGTTCTATACTATTTATTCTTCGTAATTTAGTATTTTGATTGAATTTATTAATATTTATGCAATATTTATGGTCTATTTTTGCCATGGAAATATATATATATATATTTCTATATATATTATTTTTTTCAAAAAATTATTCATGCAGATTTTTAGTTTAATATAGAGTCTAGACCTTCAGAAAAAAAATATTTTTTGAAGAAAATTAGCACCATCTGGTTACAGTATAGAGAAAAAGCGTAGAATCATGGTGTAACCCCTAAATGGCATGTACAGCTCGTGGAGAAGCATTTTTTTTTTTTTTTTTTTTTTTTTTGGTGGATTTGAATATATAGTTGAAACAATCTCAAAAATTATTTTTTATTTAAAAATTTTTTTTTAAAAAAATAAATTTTTTTTTTGAAGTTTTGTGTTTTTGTCAATTTCGCATTAATTTCCTAAAGGGGTCATTTTTGACCAAAAACCACAAGTGTGACTATTTTTTTAAGACCACTTAGCCTGCTCGGATCATGACTTCATTTTTTTTTTTTTTTTGTATTCACATACATAATGCCATAAAAGTCACCAAGTTTTGTAACATTCCGATGAAGCTGTGATTTTTAGAAATTTCAAAACAGAAAATGTTTCAGTCTTGACCAAAGAGCACCTGAGGGTTAAATAGACATATAGTTGTAAATGTGTATGAAGTGGTGTTTTAATTAATATTACTCTGGCAGGCTCTGACACACAGAGATGGCCAATTCAGAAAAAAATTCAGTTTGCACTCATTCACTTTAGTGATTTTACAGGATTATGTAAAATATTGTGCTATGAACGCCTGGCTCAGCTGTTATCCAGCAAACGGGAAGAGTGAGTATGTCTTCCTATTATTCGCTAGAATTCATTATTCAATTTAAAGCCATTATCCGTGCCTTTCTGAATAAGGTTTTTGGCTTCGGGCACATCCCTAGTAAACACACACACACACACACACACACCAAAGAAAAAGCACCTCCAACAAAATCAACAAGCACCTACAGGGCAATAACATAAATCTCAAAAGTAACTTTGAAGTGTTTGTTCGTACGGTCCACCAATAACATTTTTCATTGGCAGAGCTTTGGGTGAAGGATTCCTCAAGCCCATAAAGGCTTCCCTGTGGTGCTGCTAATACTGCGCCCAGTTATAAAGCCCAATACTGGGATTTATTGACTGTTTGTTTTTCAGCAGAAATGTTTCTTTCAAAAATGACCAAAAGGTAAAGTTGCCATGACTTGAACTTTTTCTTTTAAATTAGGTTTCTTTTGTCAAGTAACCTAAAAATGTGTTTCATGTGGTGGCATCTAAATTTAGCCAAAGTAAGATGTAAAACTGCTGAATAAACAGATGAGAATGATGCGTGGCACAGGATGAGGATTATCAAATGAACTTTAAGAAACAATCCACCACAACCGTGTAGCCCTCAAACCGTATTCACTTTATAGCCCTTAATCCTGTAATTGTGGACAAATGTGGGCACAGATGTGATCCTAATTTTTAATTATTATAAATGTTATATCACTGTCTTCGATAAAGTTTTGTGGTGTTTTTTTTTATTTTGGGGGTATTTTTGAATTTATTTACTTAATAAAGTACCCTATTTTTTATGTAAATTATGCTTATTTTTATTTTTTTTTTGACTACATTAAAATATCATTCCAATAATTTCTTAGAGCTAAACCTAAAGATGAAGTTACTTTGCTGTCGCCTGCTGTCTTATTTTGTAAGGCTCTAAATTACAGTTTTTCCCATTCATTTCTATGGATGACCCAAATACAAGATTAAGGAGTTTTTTTCACCCAATTAACATTGTAGAATTGAGTCAAAAAAAATGTGTGTGTTCAGGAGGCAAACTTAGGAAAAGTAGCCAAATCTTGTACCGCTCAGATCAAGGGAAGTCTTTTTTAAAAATACTTATTTTTTTTTTTAAAAATACAAAATTTTGAAAATGTATATATTTATATCATTTTATGTAGTTAATCAATATCACACGAAGAGTGCCATTTCAGTTTTTCTTCTCTAAAAATCAGCATGTGATATTAACAGTTTAATAAACAATAATTTAATTACAACTACAAAATGTTGCAGAATAATGTAATATATGAACGAATAATAGCCTATAAAGAGCCTTTGTGCCGGAAGCGAAAGGCTTCGTTCTTGTCATTATAGAATCTTTTTTAGCATAAAAGGTTCTTTAGAATTGAGTAAAGAACTCTATGCTTCATATATACACTGTAAAAATAAATATGCTTTATCTAATCAATAAAATTGCGGCAACAAGCAATATTATTAATTAAATTGAACAAATTAGAATTGAGTAATAATTAATCAAATTATTCCTTAAAAGTTAACCATTTAAAATGAGTAAAGTTTACACCAAAAAATATCTGAATAACAGACAGACGTCAAAGATGAATTAGGAACTGTTTATTTTATATTGCCAACATTGAAGACTCCTGATGTTAACAAGCCGAATCGCTGAAGGAGAAACCTAAAGCAAACACCAATCACCATAATGGCACTTTTAAGGAATTAATTTGAATAATTATTACTCAATTCTAATTTGTTAAATTGATCTGTTGCCCCATTTTTTTTAAAGCGCATTCATTTAATGAACCTTTTTTTCTAAGAGTGCACATATAAAGTGGGATCACAGTTTTTACTTTGTGCTGTGTGAGATTTGAAGGCTTGTTGGCATATTTTTGAGCTCTCTCTCTCTCTCACACACACACACACACACAAGATGCTACAGTTCATGATGTTACTTTGATGGTGATCCGCTTTTATTCTTATTGCGCTTTGATGCTAATTAAATTCAGTTATAAAAGCATAGCAAATGACTCCCATTACCAAATGGATTTCATGAATGAATAATTCTTCAGGGTCTCTGACAACATTTCGGTTGTAGGATTGCTGTGTCTCAGTCGTGATGGGACGCACATAAGTGTCCACTCAAACCACACACACACACCTCTGCACCTGCGAACACAGGCGACATCACCTTCATGACATCATCCATCACTTCATCCCCCGACGACGCTGCACTCTAAAAAATGCTGGGTTGTTTTAACCCAATTTTGGGTCAAATATGGACAAACCCGAAATGTTGGGTTAAAAATGTAATGTAAAAATTTAACCCAACGGCTGGGTTAGTCCATATTTGACCCAAAGTTGGGTTAAAACAACCCAGCATTTTTTAGAGTGTGGGATTCGGGCACCAAAAGATTCAGCGTTTGAAGTAATAATGAGCATGACGATAATAACGCTGCTTTATGGAGGAACACACACAATCTCCAAATCAAAGCGGTGCTTGTAAACTGAGAATGGCTGATGTTGTGTGTGTGTGTGTGACACCTCAGGACGACCGCTCTCGAAGTTCAGCGCGTCTCAGATGCTGTCTTGATCACAACACAAGCATCTCTGAACGCTGTGTGTGTGTGTCACTCGAGCGCTTTCATGTGCCAAAGATCACACACACACACACATGCAGCGGAGTTCTCTCTCTCTCTCTCTCTCTCCTCACTTCACCTTTATTCTCTCATCTCTAGCACTCCACTTTCCTGTCCTTCTATTGATCTCCTCCTATCTATCCTCCAATCACAGACTCCATTCAAACTCGTCATATTTCCACATCAAATGTACTGCAAGTGGATTATAGACATGAAATTATAATTAGCCTTTTGCATAGAATTATTATGCATGCTGTATTTGTGAGCTCATATTAATTCAGAGCCTTTAAAACATTCATTTGTCACACCGCAGGGGCATTTCAACTCCACAAGACAAAAGAAATTGCCACCATTTCCAAGTCCGCATATTCAGGATATGCATTCTCTCTCATACAGTATATATTCATATTCAATTCAATCTCACAAAAGTAATGTTACATTGACTTGTGCACTGAATGCTAAGACAAGATTTACAGCTAAACCGAATGATGAAATATGAGGCGTGATCTGTGATGAAAACAACAGTCAAGGTGAATATCTCTATTTATTATGCACAAAAAGTGAATATTAGAAATGTGAAAAATATAATTTCCCCCACTAATGCTATTGACTACAATATATGATGTCAGAGATATGGCCAGTGAGATGTGTTGATCAACTCACAGTTTAATGCAGTTTAATCGCATGTGTGAAATGTAATTTTTAGATTTTATCATAGTTATTTAGTCAACCTTGTCCTGTTTTTGTTTAGTCAGACTTTAGTCACATTTTCGTCATGGTTCATAATGGTTAAATTGATAATCACTCGGGCTGTCAAGTGATTAATCGCGATTAATCGCATCCAAAATAAAAGTGTTTGTGTTTACATAATATATGTGGGTGCGCTTTGTGTAATTATTTTGTATATATATATATATATATATTAGGGCTGTGCAAAAGTTAATTGTGATTAATCGCATCCAAAATAAAAGTCTGTGTTTACATAATATATTTGTGTGTGCTGTATATAATTATTTTCTACAAATAAATACCTATGCATGCCATGCATGTATATATTTAAGAATTATTTGCGCTTAAATTCTGTATATATTTATAAATACATAATCTATATTATATAAATATTTTATATATGAATAACACATTTTCTTAAATATATACATGCATGTGTGTGTATTTATATATACAAAATAATTATATACAGCACACACAAATATATTATGTAAACACAGACTTTGATTTTGGATGCGATTAATCGCAATTAATTTTTGCACAGCCCTAATATATATATGAAGAGTTCAGATGCAAAAGCCTCTAAATGCCATTTGAAATTTTCTTCTTTAATGATGATTTTTATCAAACTTGTATATTTAAGTTCAGTAATTTCACTTAAATGGCAATGATAATTACCTATTAATTGTTATTTAAGTGAAATTATTGAACTTAAATATACAAGTTTCATAAAAATCATCATTAAAGAAGAAAATTTCAAATGGCATTTAGAGGCTTTTGCATCTGAACTCTTCATATATATATAAAAATAAATACACACATGCATGTATATTTAAGAAAAAAAATTATTTATATATAAAATATTTATATTTATATATAATATAAATTATATAAATATACAGTATACACATGAAAATATTTCTTAAATATATACAAGCATGTGTGTGTATTTATATGTATACAAAATAATTATACACCATGCACCAACATATTGTATATTATGTAAACTTTTATTTTGGATGCGATTAATCGCGATTAATCGTTTGACAGCCCAAATAATCACAATTATTTTGCACAAATATTATAATCGCAACGATTGTTCTCATTTTAGTTTGTTTGTTTTTACAAATCAAGAGAATGTCGACTCATATCCCAACCGCATCTATATATTAAAGACTATTTATTATATAAATGAACACACTTTTTCATCATAGTCTTCGTTAACAAAATGAAACATGGGAGTTTATTTCCTAAAAGGAAAAAGTGCCTGTAACCGGAAAAACACACCAAAACAATATTAGTTTCGTTAACCTAAAAATATCTAAAATATTTGAATTACCTTACATTAATGTTTCAATAATTTAGCAACACATATTTAATCTTTATTTAGTGTTGAAGTGTTTTATTTTGATTGTTTTCATTCATATTTTAACAATTTAATAATTGTTAGCTTTTCCTCGAGTCGAACCCCAGGTGATTGTTGACCTCGCTTTATCTACGAGTTTAAATCACGACTCGTTACAAGTCTATCCATCTTTCCATACTCATTCGACACAAAATGACACACTGTGTGTCCGCACTGAGCTCGGCCTGTCGTCAGTCATACTGTGAAAGTGATCTTTTATCTCGATGTTGTACATATTTCTGTGGACACAAACAGAAACAGGAGAGCTTTAAAAGAACACAATAAATTATTAATGTGAGCATGAAAACCAAGTGAAATGAAAGCAGACAGAAACACACACACACACAAGAGGATAATGAATGGCCAGAGAAACACAAATGCTCATCTAAACTACACCACTTCCACTAACATTCTGCGTTATATTAAATCTCTTAAAAAAACGAATAAATATCCAGAACCGCTGGAAAAACGATGGAGCTGAAACAAATAAATGAGAGAAATGAGACCTTGAAGCTCTCGTCTTTTTTATCCAGGACTTGAGCAGCACAAACATCTGATGCAAATAACAGCCTATTACAGGGTGTAATGGACCGCACTCGACCAATAAAGTGCTCTAATAAGGGCTAGTCTGTAAACAATACTGCACTCCTGCTGGAAACACACACCTCTTCAGAAGAGCGTTTGCCTGCGCCCGCCATCGTCATTTCATGCACTGTTTTTATCATCATCATCATCATCATCGCCCTACAGGATCCGCAGGTTCACTCCCACAGCGCGCGAGCGACGACTAGAAATATTACTGTATTTAAAGACTCATTGCATTATAAGAACAGCGATCGGTGCGATCGATTATTTTTACTCAAGCATTTGCTTTTTCAACGTGCATGCTCATAATCCATTATAGACTGATTCATAAGTATTCATTATTCAGTCAGAACGTTCAATTAATGTATCTATAAAGATGCAACCTGAATTGCTATAATGGTATTATATTATAGTTGCAATGACTTTAGTAATTATAACCTTTTTCTGTCAAATAAGTCAATATATAGTTATTAATAGCCACGTTGTGTTCTTATAAATACCTATTGTGAGTAATAATACAGTTACTAACCTCTTTAATTGCATCATCAAGTAAAATGAAAATGCAATTTTCCTAAAGCGAATGATGTTCCCATACATTTTAAGTAGGGCTGTCAAACGATTAATCGCATCCAAAATAAAAGTTTGTGTGTACATAATATATGTGGGTACACTGTGTATGATTATATATATATATAAATACACACATGCTTGTATATATTTAAGAAATATTTTCATGTATATAGATTTATATATACTTATATTATATATAAATATTTTATATATAAATGATATTTTTTTCTTAAATATGCATGTGTGTGTATTTATATATATACAAAATAATTTTACACCGTGCACCCACATATATTATGTACACACAAACTTTTATTTTGGATGCGATTAATCACGATTAATCGTTTGACAGCCCTAATTTTAAGTTAAATGTTACTAATGTAACTAATGGACAATAATAAAATAATTAAAAAAAACATAAATTATAAATACAAATAGTTGAAAAAAAATCTATTTTTAATCTTAGCAAAACACTGCAACACTATTTTTTAATGTTTAATTCCAAACGGCTATAAGCAAAACCATTCATAAATCAAAATGAGCATTCATGACCTCTAATGCAAACATTAGCCATAAAGACATAATTGATAACCATTTGGTACAGCAAACAAGTGTTTTTGGGTCTATTTGATCTTTTATAAATCAGTGTATATTATGAACATGCACATTGAAATAGCAAATGCATGACTTACTATAAAAATAATATAAAAGGTCATACTGAGTCTTTATAAATATATATATATATATATAGAATAGTAATACTTATAAATAAGTATAAATGATTCATTATATGGTCTTCATAGAAAGTGTTACCAAATATTTTTTTTCATACGCCGCCCATTACACATCAGTCTGTTTATCTCCCCGTCTGTGTTTATCTGATTCCCCAGAGGAAGGGCTGAGGGTCGTACCGAGAAGAGAGATCTGCTTGGATGCGTATGGCTGCAGGTCCAGGCCGTTCTTCAGCCAGGAGAGTTTGGGGTTTGGAAGACCGTCTGCATGGCAGTGCAAGCTGGCAGCGACACCGGGTTCCTGGGCCTGAGTCTCCGGGTACACCAGGATTACTGGAGGCACTAGAAGGACAAAGAGATAAAAAAAGAGACTGTGAAACAAAAGAGAAAGTCATTCAATTCCAGAACAATTGCTTTGTTTTGGATTCCCTGCTTTGTGTTATTCAGAAATGGTCATTTAATGATACGAATGAGAGATGAGGTTGGGGGGGGGATTGAGCAACAAACACGTCCCGCTCAAGGCTGCTCGTTCAGCTGTATCTCTCTTCAATTAGAGCGACTCTACTGACAAAACAAGCTCGCGAACAATCACATGTATTGTCCCCGTTAATTGAAAATTCTCCCAGTATTTGCCTCTCACGAATATATTAAAGGATTTTTATCTTTGTTTCAATACAGGTTTTGTTTATATCCCTTCATCTCCCTGAGTGAAAAAATATGCCTAAAGGTTTGAACAACCTAAACTATTTCCTTTATCAACACAATTTCAGAAAAGGTTTGAAATGCTACAAATTCATAAACACTCACGATTGAAGGATTAAGGATATTAGGAACGCCTGTTCGATTTCTCATTAATGCAATTATCTAATCAACCAATCACATGGCAGTTTCTTCAATGCATTTAGGGGTGTGGTCCTGGTCAAGACAATCTCCTGAATGGCATCGTCAGAACGGGAAAGAAAGGGGATTTAAGCGATTTCGAGCGTGGCATGGTTGTTGGTGTCTGAGTATTTCACAATCTGCTCAGTTACTGGGATTTTCACGCACAACCATTTCTAGGGTTTACAAAGAATGGAGTGAAAAGGGAAAAACATCCAGTATGGGTCAGTCCTGTGGGCCAAAACGCCTTGTTGATGCGAGAGGTCAGAGGAGAATGGGCCGACTGATTCAAGCTGATAGAAGAGCAACTTTGACTGAAATAACCACTCGTTACAACCGAGGTATGCAGCAAAGACACAACACACACAACCTTGAACAGCAGAAGACCCCACCGGGTACCACTCATCTCCACTACAAATAGGAGAAAGAGGCGACAATTTTCAAGAGCTCATCAAAACTGGACAGTTGAAGACTGGAAAATGTTGCCTGGTCTGATGAGTCTCGATTTCTGTTGAACATTCAGATGGTAGAGTCAGAATTTGGCGTAAACAGAATGAGAACATGGATCCATCATGCCTTGTTCCCACTGCGCAGGCTGGTGGTGGTGGTGTAATGGTGTGGGGGATGTTTTCTTGGCACACTTTAGGCCCCTTAGTGCCAATTGGGCATCGTTTAAACGCCACGGCCTACCTGAGCATTGTTTCTGACCATGTCCATCCCTTTATGGCCACCATGTCCCCATCCTCTGATGGCTACTTCCAGCAGGATAATGCACCATGTCTCAAAGCTGGAATCATTTCAAACTGGTTTCTTGAACATGTCAATGAGTTGACTGTACCAAAATGGCCGCCACAGTCACCAGATCTCAACCCAATAGAGCATCTTTGGGATGTGGTATAACGGGAGCTTCGATCCCACAAATCTCCATCAACTGCAAGATGCGATCCTATCAATATGGGCCAACATTTCTAAAGAATGCTTTCAGCACCTTGTTGAATCAATGCCACGGAGAATTAAGGCAGTTTTGAAGGCGAAAGGGCATACCCACGGCACTAAACTTTCTTTCCTTGCTGTAACTAAAGCAGGGTTCTCTTTCTAAAATGATATGCTAGTTTCCCAAACTCTCTGTAGCCATCATTGCTGCATGAATGCTTCTGGGTTTTTCAATATAAACTTTACAGCTTTACATCCTATCTGGACAACAGCTCGTAAGCCACACTCTCCTCACGCTGTGCCGTAACCAGCGGTGTACCACAGGGTTCAGTCCTGGGCCCGCTGCTCTTCTCCATCCACTCCAATAGAGGCCAACAGTGATGTCCAGAGGGGATATTTTGTTTCTAATATGAGAAAAATATTTTATATTTTCGAAACATTTTAAATAGTCAAGTCGCTAATACAGATTGTTTCAAAGCAGCTTTACAGTGATAACAGGAAAATAATGCAACAGAGTTTGTTTCTGTTGTACAGCAGACCTAGAAGAGAATAGCGTCACAGTCCAGCTTAAGTAAGTTCAGTGATGGTTCATTTCTGTTGTAAAAAAGTTATTAATTTAGTTAATTTATCTATACCGCTGCTTAAGAGAAAACCGTGATGTCATCGTCCAGCTCAGTTCAGTTCTTATATAATGGTGCTAATGCAGAAGATCAATAATATTGTTGCCCAAACTAAGCAAGTTAAGCCCGACAGTGGCAAGGAACCCAAACTCCATCAGGTGGCAGAATGGAGAAGAAAAACCTCGGGAGAAACAAGGCTCAAATAAATTTAATCAAAAAATTTGGTTAAGGTATTTATCTGACAAAAGCAGCTACAGCTTTTATTTTACTATAATCAGTTATGCATTCATAATTTATTTTTATGACAGCCCGGCCACCAAAAATGATCTGCACAATTTGGTATGTTTCAGTGCGTTATTATCACAAATGAAACAATCGACTCCATGTGCAAATATGCTTACAAAATCAACATTTCTTTTTTTTAACATTTGAAAAATAAATAAATTCCTAGGTCGGACATCACCCTTCGGCCACTACCATAAAATCTAAGTCCTGGAACGTTGTTCTTCTGATGAGATGTAAACGCAATGTAAGATGAAAATGAACACATGAAAAGACGTGTTTTCAAATCAATCTGGATTGCAATGTGCATCATACTGTATTACCGCCACGCTTAACCTTTAGATTGTTTTTGTAATTACTACAGTGATTTATGGATGCACTTAACAGAATGTGCACTTGTGTGTACTTACATAAGAAAGTACTGGTTAATGTAAGTCAACTACATGGGTTAAGGTTAGGTTTTTACCCAATTACTGTAATTACTATAATTAGTACATAGTATGTAGATAGGGAGAACAGGACTATAAAGTAAAGTGGACAGACATCGAAACAGCGTTCATGAAAAGCAAAGGTGAAATATGAAAGAGTCTACTACTAACCATTCACCTGGAGCACGTGGGTTTGGGACAGATCCTCATAGCCGTACGCGTGACAGCTGTAGTTCCCCATGTGAATCGTAGTCACCTTCGTAATGTAGAGCGAGCCGTCGTCGCCAAAGTCCTGGTTGAACGGGAATAAAGAGACGGAGAATAAAACAGCAGGAAGGCATGGGATGAATGGACTATGAATCAGCGGCGTCCCATGAGCGAGCGGGAGAAGGGGTTTGTTCCTCACTGTCATGCTCTCTCAGGCTGATAAATGGTAAGGGTTAAAAATATAGCCAGCATTAGCGTGATTAATGAAGCCTGTTGTGGTTTTGTGAGGATGCGTCCCCTCATCTGGGGTTTTGGGCCGACTCAAGGGGGATTAAAACATTAAACTGTTTTGTAGTTATACGAGTTTGGCGAGGGTAAATGATTTAAGGACACGAAATCTCGCTCTTAAACCCTAACACACCTGCAGCTTTATAGGGCTCGGGAACAAAACCGCGATTTGTTTGTTTAGGAGGTCGTCACTAATCCACCGAGATGGATGATCAGCTCCTGGAAAAACACTCGTTTGCCTCCGAGTGCTGAAGTTTTAGGATCAGAAGTGACTCTCTTCCAAGGACACGGATGCTCTTGGAAACCCAACCACAAAAACGAATTACTTTTTTTATTAAATATAGATTATGTGACCGATAACACTTCACCGATATTGTGCCGCGTAACGGATTCCATCACTGTGTTGCCCGCCACTTTCTGATGAAATGTAATTAAGAGTTTGTCATTCAAATTTTTAAATCAATGTCTCGTGATGAGGTTTAACCGAAATAACAGCACCACGACTACAGTTAATAAACGCCTAATTAACACTGGGGAAATTTAGCTGGCATTAGATTCGGAATCGGAGATGAGTGTTCGTCTCACAACTCTGCCAATTTATCTCTGGTGCGGTACTGAGGGAGCTGTTTAAACGAATAAAACATTAGATACGCTTTTTATTGGCAATTTCCTCTACTAAATGTTTCTGAGCTGCATTCGCACGCTTCAGATCACACAACAGACCGCAGCTGGATTGAGGTCATGACACTGGCTTGAGCGTCTTCTGTTTGAACCCTCAGCAGTTCATTTACTCCTGTGTCAGTGGTGTGTTGTGTTGCGGAGATTCACATCCCACAGGATCCCCTGAAAAACATCTTCACTGCTTCAAATGTGTGTATTTCAGAAACATATATGGCATTAAAAACGTTATGATTTGAGATTAAAATCAGGACACTTCTAAGACAACAACCATGCGTGGAATACGAGCCCGTTCTCATCCCAAAGCGCCATATGGGACGCTTTTGCAAAAGCGTAAATATCCAACGCACATGGCACCCTTTAACGTAAAATGGGACGCAGATATATTTGGGCAGAAGGCGCCCCCTAGTGGTCGAACCCTTACCCTACACCATACCTAAACTTAACCATAACCGAAGCGTCTCATTAGACGTTAAAGGGTGCCATGTGCGTTGGATATTTACGCTTTTGCAAAAGCGTCCTATATGGCGCTTTGGGATGAGAACGCGTTGGGAATACACACATGTGGCCCGTTGTTCTGCCAATTTTTGCAGCCTTGTCGAAAAATGCTACCGTAGCGTGAATTGATCACAGAATGCCGATTAAAGTCGTATGAAATACAATTATAATACAATTCTAAGTTATGAGTAGCTACTGTAGACTACTGTTTTTATTTTTAAAACGGTGTGAAAAGTAAAATATTATCATAAAATATTCATCTTTGACTCGTCAAAGCACCTTTCCTCATAGTAACTGAAACTTTCATCTATTCCTTTTCAGCTGGCTGACTGTACAAATATTTATATGATAGTAAGCATTTTTTTAAAGGGAAATTATACATTATGCCAGGAAAATGTACCTTTTGTAAAAAATAAAAAATAAAAATAAGTAAAAAAATGGAGTCTGCACATACGCATGACTGGTAGCATGAATTGTCAGAACACCGGATCTGAGCCGACACCGTCTATGTTGTTGTCTGGGTTGTTCAGTCTACATTAAGATTTATTAGACATTCATTGAAATTTAAATATGCCTTTTTCTCTGAGAGGTACAAGACGCATCTGCCTAGAGCTTATGAAAACCCCAAATTCAAAATTAGAATATTGTGAAAAGGTTTTCATAAGCCATAATCATCAAAATTATAACAAATAAAGGCTTGAAGTATCTCAGGGGTTGATTCAGAGAAGACAGACGAAGAACGTGGTAAACACTTTCTTTAATCACAGAGACTCGGGACGCACAGAAACAGGTGAGACAGCGTGTCAAACACGGACAATGAACTGAATGCAGACAGGCACTTAAAAACACAGTGATGATGATACATTAACGACAGGCAGCTGCGAGGAAGGTGATTAGTGTCCATGGAAACAGATTGTGGCGGGAAACACTGACAGGGAAACACACGTGAGAAATCAAAACAAACTGAAAGTCAAAAGAGCCTCTTGTAATGAGTCTATATAATGTATTAGTTTCAGCCTTTAAGTTGAATTACTGAAATAAATGAACTTTTGCATGATATTAATTTTTTTTTTTAGTTTCACCTGTAAATTAATGCTTTTAATAAATAGTAAAAAATAAATAAATAAATGCAACATCGAAATGTAGCACTGTGTGAACTTCTCAAGCATCGTTAGCCAAATATGGTCTTAAGTTCCGGCGTTATCAGCATAGTTAAACGAGTCGGTGTTTCCGGAAACCATCGTTCCAACGAACATTCGCAAAGTTGTGTGGTTTGAACGACAGCTCTCGACCTGTGGTTAGAGGCGTAGTTTCTATATAGCACCACATTTGGACGCAATAAATCCTTATCTTGAGCAAAATAAGCAAGCTGACATTCAGTACAACCGGTGTCTTTTATTTAGAATACATACAAATGTAATTTACGTCTTTTAGTTTGTCAAAAGATTTGAAGTAACGTGTTTGAAGAGTGCGCATGTGCGAACGTGCTCTACTATGTAAGAACGAGCCAAATATTGAGTCTGGTAATAAAGCAAAACAACTGAGAAAAATCAGAAATAGTCCTCAGATGACATGTTTGTAATTTATATTAAAAAAACTCTACCGTTAATTGGATCTCAAACAGTTTCATTAAAAGTAGTTATTACTCCACCACGTGCGAAACCAACGTGGCTGAACGATACTTTGCGACAGTGGGTTTCCGGAAACAGTCGACTATTTCGATCGTACTATGGTAGTGCAAGCAGCGAACTACGTCGTTGTACGGGAAACGCACCCCTGGATATCAGCTCATAAGCGGCACTCTCCTCACGCTGTGCCGTAACCAGCGGTGTACCACAGGGTTCAGTCCTGGGCCCGCTGCTCTTCTACATCCACTCCAGTTCCCAATTACAATAAAGGCCAAAAGTGATGTTTGGAAGGGATGTTTGTTTTTATGACCCTACAAGTTTGATTAAACCATTAAAAAATTCGGAACATGTTTTAAATATTAGGGAAGAACAAAACACTGATCTTGGTTGAGGTATTTATCTGACAAATTGACTGAAATCAGCTGGACTGACACGAACTGTAAACGATCCAACCCAGACAGAAACATAGGGAATCGACGTGATTTTAAAGAGCATTCAACAGCGAGAAGCATGTAGAATAAATTCTTCTTTTTCGTCCGAGGAATCAGACCCAATCAATGCCCTCACAATCAAACACAGTTACACATGCTGAACATCAGGGGCAAGACAATCACGTATTTACAACCAAAGTTTATGTAGACACAGTTTATTCGCTATGGTTTAGAAAACGCTAAAAAAATATGAGCAGAACTCAGTGGATATTTGACTGGTTTTGTCCGTCCTTCTGTTGGACTCTCACATGAATTATGTTGAATATCTGTTCAATTGAACTACACAATTAGATAATACCAGTTTAGCTCAACCAGTGACCAAGCAATGCTTCATGCGGAGGCGTATTGCATTCAGTTGAAGAAAAAAAATCTACTCTGTTTTTCTGAAGTTAATTATCTCAGAATTACGAGATAATTTTCATGAGAAAAAACGTTTTTGCTCTGTTTTTCTGAATTGATGAGTTAATGTTTTATGAGAAAAAAAAGTTCTGCTCTGTTTTTCTGAATTAACGAGTTAATTTTTCATGGATTTTTTTTTTTGCTGTGTTTTTCTGAATTAACGTTAATTAAGAGCAAAAACTTTTTTTCTCATGAAAAATTAACTCGTTAATTCAGAAAAAAAAGAGCAAAAAAATTTTTCCATGAAAAATTAACTCCTTAATTCAGAAAAACAGAGCGAAAACGTTTTTCTCATGAAAAATTAACTCCTTAATTCAGAAAAACAGAGCGAAAACGTTTTTCTCATGAAAAATTAACTCGTTAATTCAGAAAAAAAGAGCAAAAAAATTTTTCCATGAAAAATTAACTCCTTAATTCAGAAAAACAGAGCGAAAACGTTTTTCTCATGAAAAATTAACTCGTTAATTCAGAAAAACAGAGCAAAAACGTTTTTCTCATGAAAAATTAACTTGTTAATTCAGAAAACAGAGCAAAAACGTTTTTTCTCATGAAAAATTAACTTGTTAATTCAGAAAACAGAGCAAAAACGTTTTTTCTCATAAAAAATTAACTCGTTAATTCAGAAAAACAGAGCAAAAAAAATTTTCCATGAAAAATTAACTCGTTAATTCAGAAAAACAGAGCAAAAACTTTTTTTCTCATAAAAAATTAACTCGTTAATTCAGAAAAACAGAGCAAAAAAATGTTTCCATGAAAAATTAACTCATTAATTCAGAAAAACAGAGCAAAAATTATTTTTCTCATGAAAAATTAACTCATTAATTCAGAAAATCAGAGCAATTTTTTTCTCATGAAAAATTAACTCGTTAATTCAGAAAAAAAGAGCAAAAAAATTTTTCCATGAAAAATTAACTCCTTAATTCAGAAAAACAGAGCGAAAAAGTTTCTCATGAAAAATTAACTCCTTAATTCAGAAAAAAAAGAGCAAAAAAAATTTTCCATGAAAAATTAACTCCTTAATTCAGAAAAACAGAGCGAAAACGTTTTTCTCATGAAAAATTAACTCCTTAATTCAGAAAAACAGAGCGAAAACGTTTTTCTCATGAAAAATTAACTCCTTAATTCAGAAAAACAGAGCGAAAACGTTTTTCTCATGAAAAATTAACTCGTTAATTCAGAAAAACAGAGCAAAAACGTTTTTCTCATGAAAAATTAACTTGTTAATTCAGAAAACAGAGCAAAAACGTTTTTTCTCATAAAAAATTAACTCCTTAATTCAGAAAAACAGAGCCAAAAAAATTTTCCATGAAAAATTAACTCGTTAATTCAGAAAAACAGAGCAAAAAATTTTTTTCTCATAAAAAATTAACTCGTTAATTCAGAAAAAAAAGAGCAAAAAAAATGTTCCATGAAAAATTAACTCCTTAATTCAGAAAAACAGAGCGAAAACGTTTTTCTCATGAAAAATTAACTCCTTAATTCAGAAAAACAGAGCGAAAACGTTTTTCTCATGAAAAATTAACTCCTTAATTCAGAAAACAGAGCGAAAACGTTTTTCTCATGAAAAATTAACTCGTTAATTCAGAAAAACAGAGCAAAAACGTTTTTCTCATGAAAAATTAACTTGTTAATTCAGAAAACAGAGCAAAAACGTTTTTTTCTCATAAAAAATTAACTCGTTAATTCAGAAAAAAAGAGCAAAAAAATTTTTCCATGAAAAATTAACTCCTTAATTCAGAAAAACAGAGCGAAAACGTTTTTCTCATGAAAAATTAACTCGTTAATTCAGAAAAACAGAGCAAAAACGTTTTTCTCATGAAAAATTAACTTGTTAATTCAGAAAACAGAGCAAAAACGTTTTTTCTCATGAAAAATTAACTTGTTAATTCAGAAAACAGAGCAAAAACGTTTTTTCTCATGAAAAATTAACTTGTTAATTCAGAAAAACAGAGCAAAAAAAATTTTCCATGAAAAATTAACTCGTTAATTCAGAAAAACAGAGCAAAAACTTTTTTTCTCATAAAAAATTAACTCGTTAATTCAGAAAAACAGAGCAAAAAAATTTTTCCATGAAAAATTAACTCATTAATTCAGAAAAACAGAGCAAAAATTATTTTTCTCATGAAAAATTAACTCATTAATTCAGAAAAACAGAGCAATTTTTTTCTCATGAAAAATTAACTCGTTAATTCAGAAAAAAAAGAGCAAAAAAATTTTTCCATGAAAAATTAACTCCTTAATTCAGAAAAACAGAGCGAAAAAGTTTTTCTCATGAAAAATTAACTCGTTAATTCAGAAAAAAAGAGCAAAAAAAATTTTCCATGAAAAATTAACTCCTTAATTCAGAAAAACAGAGCGAAAACGTTTTTCTCATGAAAAATTAACTCCTTAATTCAGAAAAACAGAGCGAAAACGTTTTTCTCATGAAAAATTAACTCGTTAATTCAGAAAAACAGAGCAAAAACGTTTTTCTCATGAAAAATTAACTTGTTAATTCAGAAAACAGAGCAAAAACGTTTTTTCTCATAAAAAATTAACTCCTTAATTCAGAAAAACAGAGCAAAAAAATTTTCCATGAAAAATTAACTCGTTAATTCAGAAAAACAGAGCAAAAACTTTTTTTCTCATAAAAAATTAACTCGTTAATTCAGAAAAAAAAGAGCAAAAAAAATTTTCCATGAAAAATTAACTCCTTAATTCAGAAAAACAGAGCGAAAACGTTTTTCTCATGAAAAATTAACTCCTTAATTCAGAAAAACAGAGCGAAAACGTTTTTCTCATGAAAAATTAACTCCTTAATTCAGAAAAACAGAGCGAAAACGTTTTTCTCATGAAAAATTAACTCGTTAATTCAGAAAAACAGAGCAAAAACGTTTTTCTCATGAAAAATTAACTTGTTAATTCAGAAAACAGAGCAAAAACGTTTTTTCTCATAAAAAATTAACTCCTTAATTCAGAAAAACAGAGCAAAAAAAATTTTCCATGAAAAATTAACTCGTTAATTCAGAAAAACAGAGCAAAAACTTTTTTTCTCATAAAAAATTAACTCGTTAATTCAGAAAAACAGAGCAAAAAAAATTTTCCATGAAAAATTAACTAATTAATTCAGAAAAACAGAGCAAAAATTATTTTTCTCATGAAAAATTAACTCATTAATTCAGAAAAACAGAGCAATTTTTTTTTCTCATGAAAAATTAACTCAGTAATTGAGAAAAACAGAGCAAAAACTTTTTCCATGAAAAATTATCTCGTAATTCTGAGATAATTAACTTGTTAATTCAGAAAAACAGATTAGATTTTTTTTCTTCAAGTGAATGCAATACGCCTCCGTAGCTTCATGATTCATGAGCAATTACAGAAAACATGATCAGCTCAAAGTGGAGGAATCATTTTTGGTCCCAAATGTTGATATTTCTTACTGGTAGTCACTGTTTGAAGAATATTTGTGTAAAATATGTTGACCTTATTTTGCTCTCCACAATTAACTATAGTGTCCTGATCACACTAGTAAAAAAATATAAAACATTCCATCTGGTGTCTGAATCATTTTTAGTTTGTCTGTGTATACTGTAAAGAACACAATCGTCTTCCGCAGCGTCCCTCTCGTTCAGCACTCTTCACCGGTCCTCGTTGACCCGCGCGTCGCCGTCGACTGGGTCAGTGTTGCAGCGTTCAGCAAACACTTCATTAACATGCAATTAGAGTATTGTAATGAGCGAGCGCAGAAACACAACCCCATGCTGTCAGGAACCCAGGTGAGCTAAACACAAGCGAGACACAGCTCATTAAACACTACGAGCATGTCCGCTTCTCCAAACCTGCAGTCTTTTGAAATCAGCACGACTCCTGAGAACTTATTTACAATTACATCATGATAAAATGAAGTGGAGGAAACACAAATATGTTTCGTAATTGCAAACGGAAAGTGTGCCTCAGAACGCAGAGCATGTGTCCTGATAATGAACATTAACATTTGTAATTTGTTTTGGCATGAGCTTCAATTCTCTAACGTTCTGATTAATTGGTGAAAATCAATGCAACCGGCCCCGACTGAGCCTCGTGCTCCGGGTGATTATCAGATATGCAGCAGCTGCCCAATTAACAGGAGGATGAAATCATTTCACATCAGGAAAGAAACTCGGCATGGTTTCTCACCTTGAGAAGGTGTTCTTCTCGGTCCCACAACATTCCCTTTTAATCTGAGGCCACGTTTACACAAAGCAAAACGAATATTTCCCCCTTCTCCATTTTCAAAAATAACATCGTTCACACACCCGCATAAATACGCCTTCGAGCGCCATCATAACTACGCCAAACCTATCATCAAACTGCAACTTTTTGCAAGTTCCCTCAATTTTTGCAAATTCCTGCAATTTCATCGCATAAAATTGCATAAATTTACGGTATGATGCTGGCAACCACAGCTGCCAGTAGTTTACCGCCTAATCCATCAATTTTTGCCCGCAACAATCACAAAAAAACTCCGCAAAATTTTTGGAAGGACTGAATACTATTATGGTAAATGTTATATATAAATCGCAAATTTTTTCACAAATTTTTGGAAATTACCACCACAAAATCAGTCATTTTGATCGCAAAAATCACAAAAAAAAAATCGTGAAATCCTGGAGGGACTGGATTATAGTGTGATTTGGGTAATCGTCAGGGTTCTGTTTCCAGTTTGCACGAGACGAACGCTCTCCTGTTTTACGCGAGTTGTTTTGCAGTGTTCAGATGTCGGCACTTCGGTCTAGTCTGGTTGCATCTTGAGTCGTTTACTTATGCCTTGCAGTACCTAAAATCTGACAGGTAACATTGCGATTAATCTTAACCTGATTTTAATTACAACAAAAAGGCATGTAAACACTTTAATGGCATGTATTTCACTTTGACTGTGCATTTCAGGGGTGCTGAAGAAAGTTAATATTGACAATGTTGAATATAATGCGGTATATTGGTCAAAAATATTGGTCATCATCAGTGGTGGGCACTATGAGAATATTACCGGTTAAAATAACCTTGATTCTTAGCGAATAATCAGAATGGTGACCTCTTACTGAGATTAAGCCTTTATATTACTCTGATTATTGGAAATCATCACATTATTGGTGCTCTCAGCTTTTAAATGTTGTTTTATACCATAACTGATGGCCAAAACTATGTTTCCCATCCCCGGTTTACTCGTTCATTTAGCTTTATATATATATATATATATATATATATATATATGAAGAGTTCAGATGCAAAAGCCTCTAAATGCCATTTGAAATTTTCTTCTAGAATGGTCATTTTTATCAAGCTTGTATATTTAAGTTCAGTAATTTCACTTAAATAACAATTAATAGGTAATCTTCATTGCCATTTAAGTGAGATCACTGAACTTAAATATACAAGCTTGATAAAAATGATCATTTTAGAAGAAAATTTCAAATGGCACTTAGAGGCTTTTGCATCTGAACTCTTCATATATATATATATATATATATATATATATATATATATCAAGTGATGGATGTAATCATTATGTTCTGGGGTATTTGAGGAAATAAGTGTCTACGTTTACCACCTTATTCCAAAGGCAGGCGTATTTATGTTATATTTCATATATGTTATAATCTTATTAGGATACAGGTTTGTTTTATTATCATCCCTGGTCTCCAGACTGTGTGTCTGTGTATGCTTGATTAGTCACAGTGTGCAGGCATCACGCCTTTAGGTTTCATTGTTCATTCGATTGATGCGCAGGACTGGTATGCCTTTAGTGACTATAACCTAACATTGCTATTAATTCAGATCAAGAATTAATATCACATGATTTTGTGATTTCATTAGTTTATTTTGGTATTTGTGTTTGTGTTTTCATTGCAGGTTTACAAACGAACTAACATCCTAAATTACGTCACTCATTTCCAGCTGACAGGCTAGCATAGCGGTAGCATTCAGGCTACCTAGTTTGTAGATGATTATTGTGCATGCGTGACTCGAGTTGTATCCGCTGTACTTGTCCTGAAACCCTTCCAGTGGGGAGTTTATTGAGTTATAGCAGGTAGCTTAGTTAAAGGCCTGGACACTCACATTGATGTCCTCTAGATCCAGGAAGTTGAGGATGATGCCGTTCCTCTTCCAGATGATGGGGGGCCTCAGGGTGCCCTGGATGGCACAGGACAGCACCGCGCTCAGGCCCACGGTCACTGTTGTGACGCTCAGACGCTTCTCGTCCGCTAGACTGAGCTGGACCACCTCTGCAACACACAACAACATCATTACCATCCACAGTGTCAAAAAAATAAAAATATTTTCTTTCTTCACTTAGTTTGTCTTAAAGCAAATAATACTCCACATAGAAAAACTAAATAAACGAAACAATTTTGTTTAAATAGTATTTTGGCTTGACACCAGAACAAGCTTGTTGGTGTTGTGTCGGTGTTGTGTTTGCCTTGTGTCAGTGTCTGTGTCGGTGTTGTGTCAGTGTCTGTGTCGTGTCTGTGTTGGTATTGTGTTGGTGTTGTGTCGGTGTAGTGTTGGTGTTGTGTCAGTGTCTGTGTCGGTGTTGTGTCTGTGTTGGTGTTGTGTCTGTGTTGTGTCGGTGTTGTGTTGGTGTTGTGTTGGTGTTGTGTTGGAGTTGTGTCGGTGTTGTGTCAGTGTTGTGTCAGTGTTGTGTCGGTGTAGTGTTGTGTTGGTGTTGTGTCAGTTTTGTGTTGGTGTCGGTGTTGTGTCTGTGTTGTGTCGGTGTTGTGTTGGTGTTGTGTTGGTGTTGTGTTGGAGTTGTGTCGGTGTTGTGTCAGTTTTGTGTTGGTGTTAGTGTTGTGTCAGTGTTGTGTCGGTGTTGTGTTGGTGTTGTGTTGGTGTTGTGTAGGTGTAGTGTTGGTGTTGTGTCTGTGTTGGTCGGTGTTGTGTCGGTGTTGTGTTGGTGTTGTGTTGGTGTTGTGTTGGAGTTGTGTCGGTGTTGTGTCAGTTTTGTGTTGGTGTTAGTGTTGTGTCAGTGTTGTGTCGGTGTTGTGTTGGTGTTGTGTTGGTGTTGTGTAGGTGTAGTGTTGGTGTTGTGTCTGTGTTGGTCGGTGTTGTGTCGGTGTTGTGTTGGTGTTGTGTTGGTGTTGTGTTGGAGTTGTGTCGGTGTTGTGTCAGTTTTGTGTTGGTGTTAGTGTTGTGTCAGTGTTGTGTCGGTGTTGTGTTGGTGTTGTGTTGGTGTTGTGTAGGTGTAGTGTTGGTGTTGTGTCTGTGTTGGTCGGTGTTGTGTCGGTGTTGTGTCGGTGTTGTGTTGGTGTTGTGTCGGGGTTGTGTTGGTGTTGTGTTGGTGTTGTGTTGGAGTTGTGTTGGTGTTGTGTCAGTTTTGTGTTGGTGTTAGTGTTGTGTCGGTGTAGTGTCGGTGTCTGTGTCTGTGTTGTGTTGGTGTTGTGTCGGTGTTGTGTCAGTGTCTGTGTTGTGTCTGTGTTGTGTCTGTGTTGTGTCGGTGTTGTGTCGGTGTTGTGTCGGTGTTGTGTTAGTGTTGGTGTTGTATCGGTGTTGTGTTGGTGTTGGTGTTGTGTCTGTGTTGTGTCGGTGTTGTGTCGGTGTTGTGTTAGTGTTGGTGTTGTATCGGTGTTGTGTTGGTGTTGTGTCTGTGTTGTGTCGGTGTTGTGTTAGTGTTGGTGTTGTGTCTGTGTTGTGTCTGTGTTGTGTCGGTGTTGTGTCGGTGTTGTGTTAGTGTTGGTGTTGTATCGGTGTTGTGTTGGTGTTGGTGTTGTGTCGGTGTTGTGTTGGTGTCGGTGTTGTGTCTGTGTTGTGTCGGTGTTGTGTTGGTGTTGTGTTGGTGTTGTGTTGGAGTTGTGTCGGTGTTGTGTCAGTTTTGTGTTGGTGTTAGTGTTGTGTCAGTGTTGTGTCGGTGTTGTGTTGGTGTTGTGTTGGTGTTGTGTAGGTGTAGTGTTGGTGTTGTGTCTGTGTTGGTCGGTGTTGTGTCGGTGTTGTGTTGGTGTTGTGTTGGTGTTGTGTTGGAGTTGTGTCGGTGTTGTGTCAGTTTTGTGTTGGTGTTAGTGTTGTGTCAGTGTTGTGTCGGTGTTGTGTTGGTGTTGTGTTGGTGTTGTGTAGGTGTAGTGTTGGTGTTGTGTCTGTGTTGGTCGGTGTTGTGTCGGTGTTGTGTTGGTGTTGTGTTGGAGTTGTGTCGGTGTTGTGTCAGTTTTGTGTTGGTGTTAGTGTTGTGTCAGTGTTGTGTCGGTGTTGTGTTGGTGTTGTGTTGGTGTTGTGTAGGTGTAGTGTTGGTGTTGTGTCTGTGTTGGTCGGTGTTGTGTCGGTGTTGTGTCGGTGTTGTGTTGGTGTTGTGTCGGGGTTGTGTTGGTGTTGTGTTGGTGTTGTGTTGGAGTTGTGTTGGTGTTGTGTTGGTGTTGTGTTGGAGTTGTGTTGGTGTTGTGTCAGTTTTGTGTTGGTGTTAGTGTTGTGTCGGTGTAGTGTCGGTGTCTGTGTCTGTGTTGTGTTGGTGTTGTGTCGGTGTTGTGTTGGTGTTGTGTCGGTGTTGTGTTGGTGTTGTGTTGGTGTTGTGTTGGAGTTGTGTTGGTGTTGTGTCAGTTTTGTGTTGGTGTTAGTGTTGTGTCGGTGTAGTGTCGGTGTCTGTGTCTGTGTTGTGTTGGTGTTGTGTCGGTGTTGTGTCAGTGTCTGTGTTGTGTCTGTGTTGTGTCGGTGTTGTGTCGGTGTTGTGTCGGTGTTGTGTTAGTGTTGGTGTTGTATCGGTGTTGTGTTGGTGTTGGTGTTGTGTCTGTGTTGTGTCGGTGTTGTGTTAGTGTTGGTGTTGTATCGGTGTTGTGTTGGTGTTGTGTCTGTGTTGTGTCGGTGTTGTGTTAGTGTTGGTGTTGTGTCTGTGTTGTGTCTGTGTTGTGTCGGTGTTGTGTCGGTGTTGTGTTAGTGTTGGTGTTGTATCGGTGTTGTGTTGGTGTTGGTGTTGTGTCGGTGTTGTGTCTGTGTTGTGTCTGTGTTGTGTCGGTGTTGTGTCGGTGTTGTGTCTGTGTTGGTGTTGTATCGGTGTTGTGTTGGTGTTGTGTCTGTGTTGTGTCGGTGTTGTGTCGGTGTTGTGTTAGTGTTAGTGTTGTGTCGGTGTAGTGTCGGTGTCTGTGTTGTGTTGGTGTTGTATCGGTGTTGTGTCAGTGTCTGTGTTGTGTCTGTGTTGTGTCGGTGTTGTGTTAGTGTTGGTGTTGTGTCGGTGTTGTGTTATTTTTGGTGTTGTGTCAGTGTCTGTGTTGTGTTGGTGTTGTGTCGCTGTTGTGTCAGTGTCTGTGTTGTGTTATGTTAGTGTTGTGTCTGTGTTGTGTCGGTGTTGTGTTAGTATTGGTGTTGTGTTGCTGTTGTGTCAGTGTCTGTGTTGTGTTAGTGTTGTGTTGGTGTTGTGTCGGTGTTGTGTTAGTGTTGTGTTGGTGTTGTGTCGGTGTTGTGTTAGTGTTGTGTAGGTGTTGTGTCAGTGTTGTGTTAGTATTGGTGTTGTGTCGCTGTTGAGTCAGTGTCTGTGTTGTGTCTGTGTTGTGTTGGTGTTGTATCGGTGTTGTGTCAGTGTCTGTGTTGTGTCTGTGTTGTGTCTGTGTTGTGTCGGTGTTGTGTTAGTTTTGGTGTTGTGTCAGTGTCTGTGTTGTGTTGGTGTTGTGTCGCTGTTGTGTCAGTGTCTGTGTTGTGTTATGTTAGTGTTGTGTCTGTGTTGTGTCGGTGTTGTGTTAGTATTGGTGTTGTGTTGCTGTTGTGTCAGTGTCTGTGTTGTGTTAGTGTTGTGTTGGTGTTGTGTCGGTGTTGTGTTAGTGTTGTGTAGGTGTTGTGTCAGTGTTGTGTTAGTATTGTGTAGGTGTTGTGTCGGTGTTGTGTTAGTGTTGTGTTGGTGTTGTGTTGGTGTTGTGTTAGGTGTGCTGACAGCAGTGTAAACATCTGCATGCTGGTGTCCGTCTGCGTTCTGCTCTCTGGAGCGCGCTCTTTTGAGGGATCTCCTGACAGTTGCAGGTTGCTTTAATGCCTTCAGATGAGAAGAGGTAATTTGTGCGATGTGAAGCAGAGCACTGTGGAGCTGAACACATCGATTTGCTCTGGTTAGAGGGAACACCTGCCAGTCAAACCTGAGCGCGAGAGGAACGTCCCAAACACGCTTTACACACGTCACGTCCTCCACTGAAGCTAATGCAGCATTCGCCTCACTAACACTGCTATCAGACCACTGCACTGACTCAGCAACAACTAATGCTCTTCTGCATCACTGAAAACTGGCCAATGCATTTTTATATGGTTCTCTAGAAAACAATATCCCTGTCTTCATTTATAGAACATAAGGCCGGTTTCACAGACGAGGCTTAAGATATGCTATAGGCAAGCTTGTTTCTGCCACAGAATAAAAAATAAAAGGGTAAGATCTCACAATTTACATCTTGTAATTCTGACTTTTCTGAGTTGCATGATATAAAGTCGCAATTGCGAGATATAAAGTCAAATTACCTGCGAAATCAGTTTCAAGTAAACTGTGCTGCGGATATTCTGTATCATAACAACGAAATCTCAACGGAAAAAACGCTGCGCTGCCAAAACACTCTTAAGCGTCTTCAGCAGAGCGTCTAGTGTTTTCAGCAGGCTATAAACACTTTGGTGGACACTCGGCCTAAGAATAGCATGTCGTCAGAGGAAGTTTTACAAAAGCAAAGACAACTGCGCACAAGTTCTTCTCAGCCCTCAAACCCCATAAACCCCCAAACAGCTTTACAGAAAATACAAAACCTAGCGTCTCCCTTTCATGATTCAGCAGATGCTCCTCGCTTTACTTCTCATTTTTAGCCTCCAGCAACAAAATAACTCTCCATTTCCCAGGAACCATGTTGAGTTTTTCCCAACAGAAGAGGCCCGGTTTAAGATTGTTTACCACAGTCTTTCTCTCTGTCTCTCTCCCACACACACACACACACACGACTCCCGCTGGATAAGGTTGACATGACACTATCTCTGCAATGATTCTTTGTGTTCCTCTCGCTCCAAAATAGGTCCTCCTCACAAATTATCGACTTTCTTGGGATTTTCAAAGTATCGATCCATCAGAGCTGTGTGTTATTGCAAAGGCAAGGCTGCTCGTTTCCCACAGAAATGAAGGATTCCTGCAGAGTTTGTTTTTTTAGATGAACGCTAAACACAAGTCAGAGAGGAAACAGCCTGTGTCTTTATACACATACAACATCATAGCAGAAGAAAGATCTACAGTGAGATAAAGTCCCTGTTTTCACGACCTAAGCTCATGGTCTAAAGCGCATGGCTCGAGTGC